AGGGTGTTCCCAAAACAATTTTACTCCGCGAAAAAATACTTGTCGAATATTTATGTAGAAATATGATACGTCGTTTTCAATGTATGTAATTGCGTTTGAAAACTTGTTGATGTTGTTGTGGAATACCAGATGACATTGCGGACCGATCATGATTTATTGTTTCTACTACTCACGAACATACAAACATGTTTTCAGAGACGAGTATAAATATCTTTTGCCATAACGTTTATTCGTCTCATTACAATAATTCCCGACTGGCGACACTCGAATGCTTGGAATTGGGAACACCGGACAGTTATTGCCGCTGTTCGTACGTCGCAGAACACGTATGTCCAATGAAACGTGTAAATTAACATAAACAGTGATAACATTAATGAATTGTCTGTGTAACTTGCACACGCTTCACAGAGGTTGCAACAGCTAATTACAAATCTTCACATTCGATTTTTCTAAAATAATTCAGGTTGTTCGATATAGTAAATTCTCCCTAATTGACCCTCAGCTTGGAGACGAAAATGGACAATTTGGGGAGAGGTGATACGATTATTTGAACTTCGCGACTCGTTTATACAGTTGCTGAGCGTCAATAATTATAAAAACGAGGTCCCAAATTGTCCATTTTTGTTTTCAAGCTATGAGTCAATTAGGGATAATTTATTGCATAATGGTGTTCCATAATTATGTCAACATCTGGAAACAGGAGATACTTGAAGTCATTTGAAATAACTTTTTCCTTAATGAAAATGCAATCGGCGACTTTTTGTTTACGAAAGTTTTATTAACGAAATATACCGACCAATCGGGGAGCGAGTGCGGCCGGCGCTCCGCCCTTGCGGCCAATGCCGCGTCGCGCCGGTCGTCTTACGCAGCGGTGTGGTCGCGAGAGTGGGGCGTCAGCCATACGCGAACTCTCATTGGTCAACGTTTTTCGTTAATAACTCGTAAACGAAGCCGCGGATTGCATTTTCGCTAAGGAAAAAGTTTCTTCGAATGACCTCAGCAATCACATCTTCCAGTTGTTAATATAATTATAGAACTTCCTGTATTCTTACGATCAATCTCAGACTGCAAATTTTTAGCGCGAGTATTACCATGGCCGTACCATGATTCAAAAAACACCCTTTAGAGAAACATTCGCTCCTTATCGTCCCGTCTAGGTCAAAGAACGTGTCCTCGGTTCGAACCCGCTATTTCGAGCCTCCGAATTGCTCTACAAACGACGTTAACTTTTTTTCCATAGGACGGTTTAGCAAGGCAAATCCGAGTAATTCGCCGATTAGTATTCAATCTGCGCAGCTTCGAGCTTCCCTGGGAATTCGCCTCGCTAAATTAGGTGGAAAAGTTGGAGGCAGGCGACGAAATCCGGGTTTCGTGCTACAACGTTCGTTTCATAATTTCCCAGCAATTCTCAGACTTGCACAGACACGTCCGAGAAAAGTATCTCGACTACAATAAAGACGACGATCCGAAAAAAACTCGCGCATCTTACAATTTGATTAGCTTAATTTTAAAAATTAATGCTTCCAAGAATTTTCTAGGCGAATCACGGCAAAAATTCTTTAATAGATTATCGTAAATAGAGAACACGCAATCGATTGTTTCCTACGCGATCGTTTGGAGAAGCAATTTCTATCTCGAATTAAAAAAAAAAAAAGAAACTATCCTTCGACGTCGGTTCCGAAGACGGCTAATAATTTCGAGGAGGTATTCCGAACGAAGCGAGCAGGCTATGTTTAATGTTTATAATTCTCGGGAGGCTCCCAGGCTTCTGATATTTTCAGAGTTAACAGCAGAAATGTATCAGCGCGACAAGCTTTATTTATTTAACCGGCGAGAAGTGCGACTTCGAAGCTTGTAGGCAGCTGCGTGCGAATAAATCCTCGAATAAAACTGACCCGGGCGAGAGCGATCAGCAATTATTCAGCAGAAATTTCGTTCGGACGGTGCACCGACGCGGCGCGGAACGGCGCGGCGGCCGTTCACAGAAAATAGGACCACTATTATTCCGCAGGAAGTGACACAGAATTTTCCTCCCAAATCGATCCGGTGCACCGTCAGCTGACTCCGTCCCGAAAGAACCCGATTCAGCGCCGACCTTACCCTCGGCAAAGATTTATAGCCGGATCCGGCGCTTTTATTCTGATTGAGGCCAGGACCGGGCCGGCTGCCGAAAACTCGGCAACTCGGGCAACTCGGAAAATGTCTGGCAATTTTTTCGTCCCATTTCCGCCCGATCTTATTCTCCCCGGGTTTCGCCCGACTTTGTTTTCCTTTCGACTGCGGCACGCTCGCCGCAGCGTTTCTTCCACGGTACGGTTACACCACAGGGTGTCCCAAAAGTGTCTCGCAATCCATCCGAAAGTAGGGATTCCTGAGGTGATTTGAAGCAACTTTTTCCTTAGCGAAAATGCAATCCGCGGCTTCGTTTACGAGTTATTAACGAAAAACAGTGCGCCAATCAGAGGCGAGATCGTTTGGCGCGAGACGGCCGAGCCAATGAGCGGAACTGGGCTCCGTGCGCTCACTGGCTGGGTCACCGCGCGCCAGCCGAGCTCGCCTCTTATTAGTCAGTGTTTTTCGTTAATAACTCGTGAACGAAGCCTCGGAGAAAATTTTTGCAAAGGAAAAAGTTGCTTCGAATGACCTCGGGAATCTCCCATTTCCAGATTGCGAGACATTTTCGGGACACCCTGTATGTACGTATTCCGTGAGAAATGAGAACGAAAAGGCTCCAGGAACGTTGAACGATACCGTCGACGCTTTAATGGCCGAAAGCTCGTTTCCGGTTGCTAGGAGAGAATCGCGCGCGCGCCCGCCTCGAGGGGAAACTGCGAACACCGAGCGCCGCTCGCGAAAATCTCTCGCCTATTAATATTTCAGCTAAGTCGTCGGCACTTGCTTAGACGACTCTCCCCAGCGAGGGCCCCGCTTCCTCCTGCGTCAATTAAGATAACGCCTCCTCGATAACTCCCGGGACGTCCGTGGACGATAGCGGCATCGATAGGTACTCGACCTTTCTCATTCGCGGACGATAAATCCAGTCACTGAATAATTACCAGCCTTGCTGCGGCGATAAGGCGTTTAATTAAATGCGCTTCATTAGCCGCAAATTCTGAGACGCGCTCGTAATCGGTGTCGGCGGTATTGCGACGCTTTTGTGGCAAAAACTTGCGCCGTGTCTCAAAAACATTTTAGTAATTCTATTTCTTGTTTTAATTTTATTTCTACTATTTCTATTTTATTATAGCTTTCTGAATATAGGTTTTCAAAATTTAAGTAATAAATTTAATGATTTAATAAAGTAATGGAATTATTAATTTAAAAAAGAAAGTAGTAAAATTGTTAATTTTAAGAGAAGTAATAAGGTTATTAACTGTATAAAATAGAACCGTCTTTTTGATCCGATATTTTAACAGCTTAAAATGGGAGAATCTTTTACAAATTTGATCGAATGGGTTGAATGTTTCTAAATAGCAGTTAATCAGAGAGACAAAAATAATAATAGACCCAGTACGAAAATTTAAAAAATGCATTTTGCAGGTCTTGGTAACTTAGACGCGTACCGATCATTTCGTTGAAATCTGTACAAAATTTGGTCCAACTTTAAAACAGTTACATATTTCGATTTAGATGTTCGAACTTCGAATGCTTTCGTGAGCCGACGTGCACAAAAGTGTGCTAAACGGTTTTTTACAACTCTGTCGTATCCCATTTACATAATTATATACAATAGGACGGACTCTTTCGTGATAAATGTCTATTTCTGCGCGTTCGATTTTGTTCAAACACTGAAACTAGTTTACTCGAAATTTCGTGCAAAAATTTCAACAACGCACCTGTGAAAAATTATACAAATATTACATATATATATATTATATATACAACGTGTCCCAAAATTATGGTATTTCCGGGAAATGTGAGGTTCCTGAGATCATTTGGAGTAACTTTTTCCTTTACAAAAATGTTCTCCGAGGCATCGTTAACGAGTTATTAACGAAAAACACTGACCAATGAGAAGCGAGCTCAGTTGACGCGAGGCGGCTTAGCGAGCGCACGGAGCCCGGTTCCGCTCGTTGGCTCGGTCGCCTCGCGCCAGCCGATCTCGCCTCCCATTGGTCACTCTTTTCCGCTAATAACTCGTAAACGAAGCTTCGGATTGCATTTTCGCTAAGGAAAAAGTTACTTCAAATGACCTCATGAACCCCTCAGTTCCCGGAAGTACAATAATTTTAGGACACTCTGCATAATATTTGTATAATTTTCCACAGGTGCGCTGTTGAAATTTTTGTACGAAATTTCGAAAATAATTATAAACTGCGAACATAGTTATAATAAACATAATTATAATCGTCTATTAACTTTGTGCTAAAACGTGCCAACACGAAAATTTCGTTTCGATAGCACCGGCATCGAGACGAAGTGTAAGGCGAAGAATCTGGTTTAAACGAGAATGCCAGCAATTCCCCGGAAATCATAGTAAACGTACGTCGCCGTGAAATAATAATTCCGACAGATATAACAATCGTGGAAATGTCACGTACGTCGTACACGCGTTACGGAAATAACGATGAAAGACTGGCCGGCGCATGATCTGCTCGTCGGGCCGAACATCTCCGATTGTTTTCGTCGGCGCGGAAAGATCAAACGCGTACGGGCCGCGATTTCAAACGGAGCCTGGAACAACGTCCGCTTGTAACTCGGATCCGCGAACGGATTTGAAACGGTGTCGAGGGATCCAGTAAATCGAAGCTCAGATTAAACGCGCGGATCCGCGCGGGGCCGGAAGCGCGGGACGATACGGGCCGCGGGAAGGGGACGACGATGTTTGACAGCCGTGTGAAATATCTGGCGAAGATTGGTCATAAAGTTCAGTGAATCCGATTTGTGTACCGTGTCCCGCCTATAGATAGACGTGCGGAGACCTTGACTCATGCCGCGCGAACACCCGAGAGACCCACGCTCCGACACCACATATTATTTTCGATCTTTCCTGTCCGCAGGTGCAGCGGGGAACTAAAATGTGCAAGCCAGCCAGGAAGAAACGGTCTTAACGTCGTAAGTGATCTTTACGCTTTGCACCTTCCACCTTGTCAATTTACATTCCCCCCTCCCCCTTCGCGTGATCCCGCGCGCCTCTCGAACGCGCCGGAGATCCCCACGAAAATATTTTCCGCGCTGCAGCAAACCGTTCCGCTTCGCGGAATATCAATTTTTGCGGATTCGTAATGTCGGCGTGGCGAACGCGCAACACCGATTTACTCGAAAAATTCCGGCGCGCGAAACAGTTTTCGTAACCCACTTTTCAAGCGAAATAACATTTTCAAATCGAGCCAAACGGTTCCATCTCTTCCTTTTTTTCCCCCGAAGTGGCAGACAGATCGGATTACGCTTCCGTAATTGGTCTGTCTGTGACTGACACGAATCCAAGAAATACATACGTATGTGTGTATAAAATATACATATATACTTTTTAGGACGTATAGAAAATATGTATATATTTTTTAAGTATCTATAAAATATGCATATATCTTTTTATGCATGTGTAAAATATGCATATATCTTTTTATGCATGTGTAAAATATGTATATTTTGTTATGTGTGCATAACATATACATATATTATATATTTTTATATGTATAAAATATACATATATCTTTTACGTACGTATAAAAAATATGTATATATTTTTTAAATATCTATAAAATATATACATATTTTTTTAAATATCTATAAATATGTATATATATATCTTTTAAATATCTATAAAATATAAATATATATTTTTTAAATATCTATAAAATATATATTGTATATATTTTTATGCATGTATAAAATATATATATATATTTTTATATATATAGAAAATACACATATTTTTAGTTTTAATTACTAGCTCAGACCCTTCCAACCTCCGACAAAATTCAAGTTTCTCCGTCAAAGTTTAATAAAAAATGTTATCTTGTCCTAACTCTTTGATCCACTGTATATTATACTGTATATTATCGTCTGTACGAAATTTGTACGTAGAAATACGTTGAACCCGTGTGTCTAAAGCTACAAACTCGTGCTACAAATTTTTAGCAAACCGAACTCGATTATCCCTCGCATGCATCCCTAACAAACGCTAAACAAAAAACGGGGAGAACGTCGTCCCGTAAAAGCCAAGCGGTTCAATCTAAATTTTTGTTTGCCTGACCCAGAGAAACTTGAGATTAAATTCCACCCTCTTTTAACAGGCGACAGTCTCGGTCCCTGAATCTCGAAGATTTTCGCGACCCCCACCGAGACGACTTCCAATTTTTACGGTCTCCTAGCCGATCTAAATACGTCGGACGGATATTTCAGCTATTCGTTAAAACGACGTCTCTCCTAGAGGCCACGAGATTCGGCGTTATCGTTACGGTGACTGTGTTCCAGGCGGCCTCGGCTCGACCGAGAAGACATTACGCGGCATTTTAATCAACGCGAGAACACGCGATCGGCATCGTAAAGTCCATTCATGTCCCGTGGCAAAAAAAGAAACGGAAAGTTTGACGGTTTATTTATTTCTCTCGTCGCGGCCGGGGAGGAGGAGGGGGGGAGGGGCGGGCGTGCTCCATCGTCGTTCTATTTTCACCTAGCCGTCCCTGTCTATGGTTCGGCCTACTTTGTAGCCAGGGAATAAAGGTCAACCGGTGCAACGATGCCAGTAAATCCTTTGCGCTTCGATACGATATCGATCCGGGCGAAAAAACCGAAAGCGTGTCGCGATCGTCGGGAAAGCCTTCTCCCCTCCCCTCCTCCTACTCCTCCTCCTCGCGCGCACAGCCGTCCGTTTCGAGTGGCCTTTAACGGACTGTCGCATTTCGGCCCCCGACGGCTGCCGAAGTTCCGATCCTTTGTTATCGTTCCACGGCTTCTCGGATCGGTCAATCTCGGTTTCGCTCGGCCGGAGAAGAAAGTCCCGAGTTCGAGATCACTCGAGCACGAGTGCCGCGCCGCGATCCTTTGGCCGAGGCGACCTCGCTCGCGAGAAAGAAGCCAATTGTTCAGCCTCGGTCTCGAACACCGAGCCATTCTAACCGGGCGAAACCATCCCGCGACCCTCTCAGCAAATATCTCTATGCTAATCTCATCGCTGGATCGCGGATCTTCGAATAGCTTGCCATTTTCGTAAATAAGTGTTCCAAATATGCGGAATTTCCTGGCCCCTTCCCCCAACGCTCGAAATTAAATTGCGTCCATTGGATTTTGTATTCCGTTGATTCCCGGAAATTCTCGCTGGGATTCGTGGCCTTAAATACGTTCGTAGAATCGAAATAATTGAAGGCCGACGATATTCTATTTCGTAAGGATAATATTCGTGAAATCCAAATGAGAGAGAGATCTCTCGAGGATCATCAATATTCTATTAGTAGAAGATATAATATAGATTGCAACGAATGCGGACTGTTTTTATTTTGCAGAAAGATTCGTGGTCCACTTAACCTCTTAACTATCATGATCTCCATCTAGGGATTTTGGAATTTTACGTACACCAGTTTGACAGTTTAATGTCGTTTTATACATATCAGTCAATATTGTTTACAATAGACGATGTGTATTTTGTGTTTCGTATCTTTTCAACAAGTGAACAAATTTGGAAATAATTTGCAAGTTGAACAGAACAAAATTGTCATATTTGAAGCACGATATGTTTGCTTTGGTTTTCGTATTATAATTAAATACCATGCATAAATATGTAATTTAGAGGTTATTGTAACTATGTGTTATTTAGTCAGTCTCTTGTTTTTCGTACAATAACAAACAATTTTTTCTTCTTTTTTTATTCATGCAATCTGCCACAATCCCCACTTGAGATTTAAACAAAAATATAAAATATTCTAACAACAAAACATAATTTGAATATTATTATATTGTGCATATACATAACTTTTTCTGTTAAAAATTCCAAAAAAGAAATTTGGCAGTTAATAGGTCAAGATAAAACGACTACCTAATATGTAACACTTTTCACTAAGAGTGTCAAATTATCGTCGATTTTATTGCAACTGAAAACTGTTATTGTTGAATATTGATACTACCGTTCGATAGTTTGATGTTACCAGATAACGTAACGAATTTTGAAATATTTATTAGATATGAATTAAATATAATACGAGTAAACTATAGTAACCTACGAGCATGTGCTTATTATGGAACATCGATTTAGTATCACGTTCCATTTAAAATGCCTGTTCCAACCGGGACATTGAATATGAAACACGGATGCCAACTATTCCATAAGTCGGGACAATGGAAAAATAGAACAATATAGAACAATGTTTTCTTGCTCGGAAATATCCGCATTCGAAGAAGCATTTTTTATGCTGGCGATGGTTACATCACCACAATACAGTAAATTCTCCCTAATTAACGCTCAGATTCTACACAAAAATAGACAATTTTGGAAGAGAAGATACGATTTTTATAGTTCTCGATTATCAACAATTATAAAAACGAGCCGCAAGACCCGATTAATATATATAATATAATCTATACTAATATAGATCAATAATATACATAGATCTATACTAATATAGATCAATATAATACAGATCTATACTAATATAGATCAATATAATATGGATCTATACCTGTCTCTTATACACATCTAGATGTGTATAAGAGACAGGTATAGATCCATATTATATTGATCTATATTAGTATAGATCCATATTATATTGATCTATATTAGTATAGATCTATATTATTGATCTATATCATTGATCTATATTATATTGATCTATATTAGTATAGATCTATATTATTGATCTATATCATTGATCTATATTATATTGATCTATATTAGTATAGATCTATATTATTGATCTATATCATTGATCTATATTATATTGATCTATATTAGTATAGATCTATATTATTGATCTATATCATTGATCTATATTATATTGATCTATATTAGTATAGATCTATATTATTGATCTATATCATTGATCTATATTATATTGATCTATATTAGTATAGATCTATATTATTGATCTATATCATTGATCTATATTATATTGATCTATATTAGTATAGATCTATATTATTGATCTATATCATTGATCTATATTATATTGATCTATATTAGTATAGATCTATATTATTGATCTATATCATTGATCTATATTATATTGATCTATATTAGTATAGATCTATATTATTGATCTATATCATTGATCTATATTATATTGATCTATATTAGTATAGATCCTGTCTCTTATACACATCTAGATGTGTATAAGAGACAGATACTAATATAGATCAATATAATATGGATCTATACTAATATAGATCAATATAATATAGATCAATGATATAGATCAATAATATAGATATATGCTAATATAGATCAATAATATAGATCTATACTAATATATATCACTAATATATAATTAATATCACCTCTCCCCCCAAATTGCCCATCTTTGTGCACAATCTGAGTGTGAATTAGGGGAAATTTACTGTATTTCCGTGGGCGCGCGAAGTTACAAAGAACAATGTTCAAAAATAAAATTTATTACTGCATTGTTTGCGCCACTGTTTCCAGAAGGGGTCACAATTCGGCGGTGTTTCATAATACGTACTTCCAGCTTATCCCATTTTCCTGCGATTTCTAAGAAACTCTAGTGACTTTTCATTTTGTTGATACGGAATTCGTTGTGCGGTATGGTGCATTGATTTCAGTCGAAACAGGCCAAGGACTTTATCCTATGCGAGACGAGGATCATTATTGTTCTCTTAGATTCATCAGCTGCAGGAATAATACTGCTTTCTGAACTTTGTCCTATCTCATCTGCCTCGCTCATCTATCCGAGGATCTCTAATAACAACTCTTGTACAGTGTTCAGTCTAGTTTATCCCACACTCTGAAGTTTCATCAATATTTGCGTCACCGTCTCCTCAACTTGTTTGCAAACACTCGAACTATCGAGCATTCGATACTGCTAAAATGTATCGCCTCATGGAAACAATAACAACTGCGTTCATTGACGGTTCGTGCGACTTTGATTATAACACGTGATCGATCATTTTCGATGAAAGCATTACTTGTTGCGGTATGGATTGTAGGCGTTTATGACGCAAAGTGTAATACGCGAAAAACAAAACTGTAAATTCGTTTGTTGAATGTCAGAATTATTATTACACTATATTATTACACTATTACATTATATGACGTGACCCATAATTATGTGAACACCTGGAATGGGATGATTCCTGAGGTCATTTGAAGTAACTTTTTCCTTAGCGAAAATGCAATCCACGGTTCCGTTTACGAGTTATTAACGAAAAACACTGACCAATCGGAGAGCGAGTGTGGCCGACGCTCCGCCCTAGCGGCCAATGCCGCACCGCGCAGGTCGTTTGACGGCAGTGGTCGCGAGAGCGGGGCGTCGGCCGTACGCGATCTCTCATTGGTCAGGGTTTTTTGTTAATAACTCGTAAACGAAGCCGCAGATTGCATTTTCGCTAAGGAAAAAGTTTCTTCAAATCACCTCAGGAATCACCTCCTTCCAGTTGTTAACATAATTATAGGACATCCTGTATTCTTACGATCAATCTCAGACTGCAAATTTTTAACACATTTATTAACAAAACTGATTGTAGCACGATTTTAACTGGCTGTAACATGATTCAAAAAACACCTTTTAGAGAAATTCTTATTGACGCATATAGGGCAGAAAATGTGTCCTCGGTTCGAATCGCCTCCAAATTGCTCTACAAACAACGTTAATGATCTCAGGAATCACCTCTTTCCCAGTGTTAATATAATTATGGGACACCCTGTATGTTCGCCTTCTTTATAATGTACGGAGTGAATTTACGAAGGAGATTCGCAGGTAAACTTGCAGAAACTAGCGCAGTCTGCTCTTGAATCTAGGCACGCCTTATCTGCTTCCCGGTCACGTTCATGCGAAACGTTTGCAAGAACTGCAATATTCAATGTACACCTCCGAACTTTCGATTGCTCCATTTTTCGGCAGCGTATGTATCAAATAGACGATCGTGGTTCGCGAGTGATTTTGTCATTTTGAATTCATTGTTCGTGGAAATCGTATTAGACGCAGAATGATATCACAAGTGCATTGTCTAAATTTTGGCACGTTCGAAATGACATTTTTTGAAATATTATTTGAAATAATGTTTTATTTTATTTCACTTTATAATTACTTGAAATAATTGGTTCAGATAATTTTGAAACTCTTCTTGGAAATTGTATGGTGATCTAATTGACATCTCTGAGTGTGGTTATGTATGTAAATAATATTTTATTTTATTTTACTTTGTAATTATTTGAAATAATTACTTCAGATAATTTTGAAACTCTTCTTGGAAATTATAGGGTGATCTAATTGTCATCTCTGAGTGTGGTTATGAGTGTAAATAATATTTTATTTTATTTTACTTTGTAATTATTTGAAATAATTACTTCAGATAATTTTGAAACTCTTCTTGGAAATTGTATGGTGATCTAATTGCCATCTCTGAGTGTGGTTTATTCTAACAGCCTCGTTGATATGGCTGCAGGATCAATGAGAACCGATCCGACTATGTTAAATGATTATCCTATTACAGAAACATTTTTTGATGATATTAAATGGAATCAGACAGAAATCTCTCAAGGGTGAACTATTCGAAGAAAGAGCAAAAAAATTACTATAAAGATCTCTGAAAATACAAACTTTTTATTATATGTATATTATTTCAAGAATTACATATCTTCATGAAGAAATAATTTAGCTGTAAAGGTTTCTTCAAATCAAATATTTCTGTTGCATATTATTTTAGGGATTATTTCTTTTGCCATATCTGAATTAAAAAATAAATCATTATTTGAATTTTTCTACAATATCAACTAGATTGATGTTATTTCTATTTCTTATTTTCATTTCGAGTATAATTTTCCCAGGTCCTATATTATCGCAGCGGTTCAGTGCGGTTTAGCATTTCGAACGATATTAATGAGATACTGCTGACGGTAAATCAGAAATAATAGAAAGAAAACATTGCAACGAAGGATGGGTGGACGTGGCACGGGAATTTCATTAGGGAGCACGGTTAACATCGTGCTCGATGAGGACATCCAGGTTGAGAAAATAATGTCGTGCCCTCGGCGGACCGTGGCGTCGGAGCCAACAATAACAAAATTGACTGATGCCCGCCTAGATTCCGTTCAAAGACAAGGCCGACCAACGGCGATTTCATCGCAGACGCGGCGGCGTACCTTGCGAGAGAGCCCAGTCCCCATCGAAAGTCAGTTAACGCTCCCGTGAACGGCCGGGGCCCTCTGTTTAACCTGATCAACGTTTAATTGGATTCTAATGTCGTTGAAATGGGTCGAAAGCACCTATTTGCCACAGTCTGTCGGAGGTTAATACTCAATCGGGGCTGTCGGGAAAGACTATTAAAGGGACGCCGCGCGTGTGCTGGTCGATCGAGGCGAGGAATCTACGTGCGACGCGGCTTCTCGTTCCAAATAAACGAACTGCACGAAACGGTTAACCGCGCCGCGATCGTTTAGTATTCTTCGACGCGCGACCAATTTTCGTAACCTCGGCGAACGACGCTGGAATCGCTGATGAACCGGCGCGATAAGAACTCGCGCGATTCCCCCGTTTCACCGAGACTGTTGCAATTAATAAGACGAACGAAATTTCGGATTTTTTTTCGCAGCTTCTAAACTGCAGTAAATTCTCCCTAATTGACGCTCGGATCACAAAAATCGACGATTTTGGAAGAGGAGATGTGTTTATTATAATATTATTATTAGTATAATAATAATAATTTAATAATTATTTATTTAGTAGTTATTATTAAAATATCTTTTGTTTACATTTTTGTTTACAAGCTGGAGGACAATTGGAGAGAATTTACTGTACACCAGAAAACATGACATAACCTTGACATAATCTGAAAAATAATACTGTAATTTGTCCCTAATTCGCGCTCAGATTGCGCACAAAAATGGGCGGCTCGTTTTTATAGTCGTTGACAATCGGTAACTATAATCAGGGAGCCAATTTATGGAGAATTTACTGTATTCTCGATCCAACGATTAAAGCATATTTTGCATCACTTTCATCGTACAGTGTAAACTCGGTCATCCAAGTCGAGCAAAGTGACACGAATGTTCGGATAATAGAACACAGTTACTAAATTACAATCTCAGATTTCGTATATATTGATTTTGTAAGGTAAATCGTTTTAGAGGTTTAGGTTATCTTTTGAGCTGAATACATGTGAAACGTACTGAAAATTCTCCCTAATTTTCCTTCAGCTTTTAACCCTTTGTAATTTCGTACGTGAAATGAATCCCGTTTTTTCCACAATACACGAATACACCAGTCTTAGAACGCATACCACGCACATATTTGTTTACATGTAACCACATAACCTCTCAGTTTGGAGGTGAAGTCAGGCCAGCCAACGCGCGCTTTATAGTGTGCTAAATTGTAAAGTATCCACAAGTGTATTATTATTGTCCAAACTGTGTTGAATCTACTGAGCGATATTCATTTGTTTTCAGTTATCGCGTTCTCACAAAACCTGCACATTTTTAGCGTGCAGACTGTACGCTAATAAAATCAACATTTCTTGTTATTAGCATCTACATGCACGTAAAAAACTTGTCTTCAGATATGACGCAAATTAACGAAAAATAGATCAGACTCCAGTGGGTTAAACAAAAGTGGACAATTTGGGAAATACGATCATTCGAGCCACGCATTTCGTTTTTAGCGAGCCGCGAGGTTATAATAATCGTATCTCCTCTTCCCAAATTGTCCATTTTGCTTGCAAACTGAAGGAAAATTGGGTAGAATTTACTGTGTTTGGACGATAGAGAATTTTGATATTCGAAGACCATTTATCGAGGTTTTACTGTATTCGGTATTCATTTCCTTGTTTATACATTTTAATAAAATTCTTATGTAGCAAATTGTGGATAAATATTTCTCATAATTACAGTGTATAGTAAATTCTCCCTAATAGATTGTGCACAAAAATGGACAATTTTGGAAAGAGGAGATACAATACATATAAAATAATATTAATAACTAATACACAATAAATAATAATACTAATATATATAATAATAATAATGTATATAAAAATAATTCTAATATATATAATAATAATAATAATAATATAATAAAAATAATAATCGTATCTCCTCTTCCCAAAGTGTCCATTCTTGTATACACTCTGAGCATTAATTAGCGAGAATTTACCGTGTAATAGTAGATTCGATTGAGAATGCCTGGAACTTCGAAACTTTACCTGGCCGTCGAAAATAGCCAGCCGACGAACAGCTCCTCGCGTTGCAAGATCTGAGGAAACCGTTGATTGTCCAGAAACCAGACGAAACCAGACACGTTTAACGATTGACAAGTTCCGCCCTGTGCAAGGAAGATGACGAAGAGATTCGAGTTCAACTGGCAGATCGAGGTACCACTTCCTCTCCGTCGGGGCTGCGTGTTCGACCGATGGTCAGAGGAAAAGGACAACACGGAACTGGAGGCCGAGTGTACGTTCAAGGTCGACGAATATGGCTTCTTCATCTACTGGCAGAGCGTGGGAAGGGTAAGTGGAGCTTCCTATTATCTGGCGGTGCTTTAAAAGGGACCGTCGTCGTCGTCGTCGTCGTCGGTATCGAGGTCGCGGCTAAGTGGGCCAAACTTTATCCCGTGGAACAAATAAGAAATAATAAATTAAACCGGGAGATTCTTCGCGTAAACTTTCGTCGCCGGGAACATTCTTTTGTGAGAACTTAGAGTCGGGAGTTCATCCGTTGGCGGCGATGCCGACTTCAAAAGCGAATGAAAAGGATTTTCAGAGACGCGGCTTTCCGATGTTTTACAGCGACAGGAAATATTGTAATCGGGTAATGGTGTGACTCGTGAAATTGCGGATTAAAGATGATCGAGAAAACGGAACAAGATTATTGCTCCGTTAGATTAGAGTCGAATTAGACTTTTACGCGACAAAGGGAAATTCAAGTTTAAAATCTGATTACAGTAAATTCTCCCTAATTGACGCTCTGCTTGGAACAAAAGTGGACAATTTGGGAAGAGGAGAGAGGAATTGCAAGGCTCGATTAAGCCCGAATAATATCAGCACCGAGGTGGAAAGATTAGAGTTTCTGATGAAAATTCATTAAAAATATGTATAGACACGTTAAATGAAAGCAATGCGAAATGAAAATACAGATAATTTCCCCTAATTCTCCTTCAGCTCGTAAACAAAAATTGACAATTTGGGAAGATACGATTATTCGAGTCATCCAAATTGTCCAATTGTGTTCCCAAGCTGAGCGTCAATTAGGGAGAACTTACTGTACATATTGTATCAACGTACAGGGTGCGGCACCTAAAACAGACCACCTGAACAACTCACTTGATAGTAATGACAGAGAAAAAGGATCAGGCAAAAGTTAATTGGTTTCGAGGGTCACATAATGTGATGTCAATAGTTTTTGTTACATAGCGGAGGGCCGCAGAGTATATATAAAAAGGTCAAACTTCTTTTTCAATGAAATTATGTATATAGTTTCTTTATTTATATTTTGACAGAGCCTTGCAAAGCTGATACAATGACCTATAAATGCAGGTCATTCAAAATTGTCTTCCTGCTACTTCTGTGTCAAGTCATACGTATTCTTTGAATGTTAGTATCTTATTGATATCGCTCATGTAATCGTTCAAGCGTATTAATGAATGTAAACAAACATTGAATCACAGATAGCACGATCTGCGCTTAGCGCAAGCGAATTATCCGGGTGGTCTGTTTTAGGTACAGTAATTAAAGTAAATAAAATTATAATTCTCTTATTCGAGGCTTGCACCTCGTTTTTATAATTGTTGACAAACGGTAATTATAGAAATGAGCCTCGCGATGTTCGTATAATCGTATCTTCTCTTCTGAAATTATTCATTTTTGTTCACAAGCTGAAGGAGAATTAGGGAGAATTTATTATACTCCTCCCTGTCTATCGATAATTAAAATTGGAAAAAATATGGAACTGTCATTTCAATACAATAAAGATAAATAATAAAGTCTTATTCTCTTATGAATGTACTACGATACCATGATTTTAATTGTTGCTAAACGGTTCGTTGCAATGAAATGAGAGATATCAAATTATTAATATTATTATATTATATAGGTAATTGAATTATTAATTATTATATTATTATAAATTAAAAATATTAGATTTAGTGATACAATATTTATAAAACAACGCAACAACCTAATGAAAAAGCAATTCTTGAAAAACATTTCATTCGCATGATGCATATCCAATAAATATCAGTAAATAAAATATTATATTACAATATATTTATTAATATATATATATTGTAATATAATATAGCTCTATTTATTGATATATATAAATCAGCTGTGCCTTGTATTCGAAGTAAATATACATTCAAATTAATGTAATTTGAACGTATAATTAACTTACTGTAAGAGTTTTATTCGAACGATATTTGAGCGATGGATCGAGGAACACGGAATTTCATTTTCTCGGCACGTAATTTCTGTTTCATGAAAAAGGACGGCGACGTGATAGAGCTGTGTCAAGTGAGCGATATACGTGCCGGTGGCCTGCCGAAGGTAAGAAACACCACACCCCTTGTCTTTCAGCAACTGGAGCGAGCCGGCAGCGCTCGTTTAAAATATTCACCGGGCAAGTTCGAAACTGTCCGACGGAAACAGCGTGCCTTGGCACTGCACTCGAGCGGAAGAGTGTTTGTCCACCGTTCGTTCGAGATGTTAAAGGGGTCTTTGACGGAGCATGTACGTGTTCTGATGCGTTTAGCTGCTGCTTATTTTATTCAGTTCGAGATAAACCGAATCAAACCGGACAATTCAATAGACGGCCCTTGTTCGCTGCGATAGATCTTTAATTTAATCTCTCGCTGTGAATTCTATCGCAGCGTAGAGAGGCTGTAATACATATTATATATGGCTGTAAGACGAATTGACAAGAGCTACATATAGTTTTTGAAAATTTAAGTTCACTTGGCTTAGCAAATTATGCTGAATTGTGGTACCAAGATATATATATATATATATATATATATATATATATATATTTATAATTTATAAATATTATAATAATATTAATATATAATATTCATTTATTTATTATATTATATTTAATATATAACATATATAATAATATATATAATATATAATATATATTATATTATTTATTACATAAATATAATATATAATATATATTAAAATATATATTATGTGTATGTATATATTATAAACAATTTCGATGCGCCTCGCGGTCGCGATCTAAACTATCCCTTATCGCGAGCGGAGGTAGCTGTTTCCGTCGAAGGTCGCGCAGCGAGCCGGTCTTTGAACGAGATTTTCTAATTTCATTCAGGACCCGAAGCTGCTCGACAAGCTGCTAACGAAGCATGGCGAGCAACTGGACGAGAAAAGTTTAACCATCTGCTCGGGCGCAGATTATACCAATATTAATTACCAGCACGTCATCTGTTCGGATCCGGCGACGGCAAAGGCAAGTTTTCACCCGTTATATAATCATCCCCCGTTTGATCCATCTCCCGGAAAATTGGTAAACGGTTTGGACAGTGGTGGGGGCGTGGGTGGGGACTTGGGGAGGGGAGGCTCGTAGATTATAGCGCGGAGGCTTCTTGAGCGAAAGCTCGCGCGGTCTCCGCCCGTCCTTTCATTCGTAGAAACCGCGCCGATGAAACCACGAACGAATTGTTTCAGTTCATTGGCTAAGCGATTAATAAGATAATCAATAAAGCCCACGTGTTTGCTGTGTGTCCCTTGACAGATATGGCTGGATGGCATACGATCGATTACGCACAACGTGAAAGCCAACAACGTTTGCCCGCTCACGTGCTTGAAGAAACAGTGAGTTTACCGATGCAATTACTCGCACACGTACACACACACATACACACGCACGCCTACGCTGACCTAATGTTTGCGTGAAATAATTAGACAGAAACGTCGTCCGACCGGCGCGTCGCGCCGCGTCCCGCACGCTCGCTCCTCGCAGATGTCGAATTGTTTGACGTTTGCTCCGCATGCGGTCCATAATCTACAACGAGCCAGTCGAATGCGCCCTTATTCACGCGTCTCCCGCCTGTATCGATTAATCGTTTCGTCTCGGAACGGAACGTCTTCAATTTAGACATGTCCGTTTCGGCCGGTATTCGTGACGCGAGCAACGTCACAACTCTCTGACGCAATTGCGGGGAGCGTTACACAATAATAATTCAATTTTTTAATAATTCAAATAAGTAAAACTGTCCGAAGTTTCGACTGTTTTAATTTTCACGCGATCGTTGATATCGTAAATGCATACAGTCCGCAGGTTATTTATGCAAAAGATGGTCGTTGAGAATTATTTTTCTTCCGCTTTCCTTTCTTTTTAAAATTTTAATTAGTATATTAAAATTATATTAAAAAATTGTATTAATTAAATATATATTACATATTATATTATATATAATATATTATTAATTAAATATATATTCTATTATATATAATACGTTATTAATTAAATATATATTCTATTAATTAAATTATATATTATATTATATATAATATTATTAATTAAATTATATTGCAATTAATTATATTAACTGATCTTGGAAAAATGTGATCAAGGTTTTCTGAAAGCGATTCTTCACATAATTATCTTAAATAATTGGCTTGTGTAGCTTTAATTATGTATCCTTTGCTGGATCATTTTATATCGAACCAATTTTTCTGATAATATTCGATGATGAAATATGTCTGTAGATTTTTCAAAAGTACAGTAATTTCTCCGTAATTCGCGCTCAGATTGCCCACAAAAATGGACAATAAGGGGACATTAAGACAGCATTATTATTCGAGCCTTGCACCTCCTTTTTATAATTGTTGATAATCGGTAATTATTGGCAAGACTTGAATAATCGTATTCTCCTCTTCCCAAATTGTCGCTGAAAATATTTTTGTGCAAATCTTGCGCGTAATCTGAGCGCGAATTAGGGAGAAATTACTGTAATTACAACCTGTTGAGAATATAGTAAATTCTCCCTAATTTTCCTTAAACAGTCTATAAACAAAAATGGACAATTTGGGACAGTTTGAGGAGAGGCGATACGATTATTCGAGCCGTGCACCTCGTTATCATAATTTTTGATTATCGGCAACTGTAAAAATGAGTCGCGATTTTCGTTTACAAGCTGAAGAAAAATTGGGGAATTTCCTTCTATTAAGGAAAAGAGGATCTTAGAATCTGCACGACTGCGCGAAAACAGTCGATTCTTCGTGACGTACGCGGGATTACACGCTTCTTACGAGATTTCGGTTCGCCGGAAAACTCGCCGAAGAGCGTAAACAGGACCGTGAAACTTTTTATTGGCGGGCGGCGCTCGGGTGTCGTGACTCCGCGATCTCGTCGATCGGACGGCCGTTTCACCGCGCTGGCGGGAAAGTTTCACGGATTATCCTTTTTATTGATAAAAAAAAAAGAAGAAAACAAATACGCACGGTTTTTGCTGTGTTTTAGTTGGATGCGGCTGAGAATGCTGGTCGACCCGAACGCAAAAGTTCCAGTGAAAGTGGTCGCGAGAACTTTCGCGTCTGGGAAAACCGAAAAGCTCGTCTATCAGTGCCTCGCCGAATTAGGCCTACCCAGTGGCAAGGTGCGTAAACATTTGTTCTAGCATATTTGCAGCGTGCCTCTCAGTTATATATATATTATATAATAATGTAATATAGTATATATAATATATATAATAATATAATATATGCTATATATAATATATATAATAATATAATATAGTATATATAATATATATAATAATATAATATAGTATATATAATATATAATAATATAATATTGTATGTATAATATATATAATAATATAATATAGTATATATAATATATAATAATATAATATTGTATGTATAATATATATAATAATATAATATAGTATATATAATATATAATAATATAATTGTATATATAATAATATAATATAGTATATATAATATATAATAATATAATTGTATATATAATATATATATATATATAATAATATAATTGTGTATATATAATATATATATATTAACTAATTTTTAACGATTTTTTATCCAATTGAGAATAAAAAGAAACGTGACGAACGACATTCGAGATACGACAGTCCTGCAGAGGGCGCGTCCTCGTCATTACGAGACGGTAGAAGTCGCTCCCAATTTTTGCTGGTCATAATTTTTTATACGATATCCGAATTTATTTTTCGACGATTCTGTGACGACTCGCCGATTTCGATTCTTTGATTGTCGCAGTCATTTCAAACGAGTTTCTACGATTCTCCTGAAACAGATCAGCGGTTTTACGACAGCTCGGAAAAATTCCGAAATGAAACGATTCGATTCGATATTTCCAGAACGACGTGATCGAGCCGAACGACTTCACTTTCGACGTGTTTTACGCGCTTTACCACAAAATCTGTCCGAGGAACGACATCGAAGAGCTGTTCCAGTCCATGTGAGTAGCAGGGCGCGCCGATAAAGGTCCGCGGGATAGGGTCGTTCGATGATAACGATCGTTTCGTTTGCTCGGTGGTGTGTTCCAGCACCCAAGGCAAAGCAGACACGATCAATCTGGAGCAACTGGTCACGTTCCTGAACGAGAAGCAACGGGACCCTACGCTGAACGAGATCCTCTATCCGCTGTACGACGAGAAGAGGGCCATAGAGATCATAAAGGACTACGAACAGAACGAGACGGCGCGTAATCAAAGTAAGAATTCCATTGGCAGCGTTTCCGTGCCGTTTTCCAGGACACCGCCGTTGCCTTGCCAGCAGCGAATATTCCGGGAAATATACAGGCTGTCCCAAAAATGTTGCCTCGCAATCCGGAAATGGTGGATTCCTTAGGCTACTCGAAGCAACATTTTCCTTAGCGAAAATGCAAACCGCGGTTTCGTTCACGAGTTGTTATTATTATCTTAAAGAGTCGTGCCACTTTGAACCCGAAGAATCGTGAAAAGTAATTTTTCTCTTGTATGTAATAAGCTCTTAAACTTGGGCCGCTCTTTGTACCGTAGAAAACGGCATCCTTTCAGAAGCAATCGCATCTTTCCAGAAACGATGACGAAGGACGGCTTCATAAGGTACCTGATGTCCGATGAGAACGCGCCCGTATTCTTGGACAGGCTGGACGTCTACATGGACATGGACCAATCGTTGGCGCACTATTACATCAACTCGAGCCACAACACCTACTTGAGCGGCAGGCAATTTGGCGGCAGGAGCAGCGTTGAGATGTACCGACAGGTGTTACTGGCTGGTTGTAGGTACGTGGGCGTGGACTATCCATCAGTGAGTCAGTGGGTCCAAAAATACGGCTATATCAACGGCGATGTACACAGGGTGTCCCAGTAATGTCTCGCAATCCGAAAGTGGCGGGTTCCTCCGGTCGTTCGAAGCAACTTTTTCCTTTATAAGAATTTTCTCCGAGGCACCGTTAACGAGTTATCAACGAAAAACAGTGACCAATGAGAGGCGAGCTCGGCTGGCGCGAGGCGGCCGAGCCAATGAGCGGAACTGGGCTTCGCGCGCTGGTTGGCTGGGGCCGCCTCGCGTCAGCCGTACTCGATTCTTATTGGTCACTGTTTTTCGTTGATCACTCGTTAACGGTGCCTCGGAGAACATTTTTGTAAAGGAAGAAGCTGCTTCAAATGATCCGAGGAACCCGCCATTTCCGGATTGCGAGACATTTTTGGGACATCCTGTATTTTCAACGCCGCAAAATCTGTACCATTGATCCGATTCCGTGGATTTCGGGCAGTAGTTCCGTTTTAAAAAAACCGATCCTTTTGTTTCCATCGCGACTCCCCCTCGAACCCTGTCGCTAACAATATATTTTCACTCGAAAGATGCGTGGAGCTGGACTGCTGGGACGGCAAAGGGGAAGACGAGGAGCCGATCATCACCCACGGCAAAGCAATGTGCACGGACATTCTGTTCAAGGACGTGATATACGCGGTGAGGGACACCGCGTTCGTTACGTCCGAGTACCCCGTCATCCTCAGCTTCGAGAACCACTGCAGCAAGAAGCAACAGCACAAATTGGCCAAGTACTGCGACGAGATTCTCGGAGACTTGTTGCTGAAGGAACCGCTCAAAGAGTATCCTGTGAGTTCCGCCGTCCGTTATCGGTGTTATTCCACTCGATTGATAGCAGAAAGCTCCGCGGACAATGCTTGCCGGCCGGCAGAATGTTTTGACGTGCTCCGCGGCTTCGATAACAAGGGGAGAAGCGCGCCCACGTCAATCGGAGTCTAGATTCCGATCGGTAAACACAGCGCTACATTGTTATCGAAGCCGTTATCGCCGTCGGCTCGCGGTGCACTACCTCCGTCGCGATTAGATTAAGCTCTCTCGACAAAAAAAAAAGAAAGAAAATGACAAACGAGAAGCCCCGACGATAAACGCAATCGCTAACGCGCGTTCCTGTGACGACAGCTGGAGCCCGGCGTGCCGCTGCCACCCCCGAGCATGCTGAAGCGCAAGATCCTGATCAAGAACAAACGTCTGAAGCCGGAAGTGGAGAAGCACGAGCTGGAGCTGTTCTGGCAGGGCCAGTTCGTGATCGAGGACGAGGTGAAAGAGGACGCGAGCGCTCCGCCGGTGGTCGCGGCGGTAGTCGAGCAACAATCGGCGAAGGTAACCCTCGCAGCCGGCACGGTCGCCTAATTTCCGTTCTCCAGTGTTCAACAGGCAGGCGCTGTGTTTCACGAAAGTTCTCGCGCCCTCAGGAGGAGGCAGTCGTGCCCGAAGCTGTCGTCGCGTCGACCACCGCCATCCAACCGCAGGCTGGCACTGCACCGGTGTTAGGCGACAGCTTAGAGCTGGCAGTGGTTCAACCGTACACCGGAAGCACCACCAACGTCCACCCGTGGCTCTCGTCCATGGTCAACTACGCCCAACCTATCAAGTTCCCGGGTTTCGACGTTGCCGAACGTAATAGCCGATTTCTCGTTACGATCACCAGACTGAGGATGATACGAAATAACGGTTTTCGGCGCCGATCGCGAGATATAGGTCGACACGTCTTAAAACAACATCGTTTACATCGGACCAAACGGTTTCAATCTTTTTGAGAAGGATAGGGCTAGTTTGCTGGGCGATGCATGCAAAATGTTTGCAATGATAATAATAGAAAGATAATAGATCGCGCTTTTCAAGGTTTTTTTATATGAACATATAATGAAAATTTGAACAGTGCATTTTTTGGTGTTAGTTTTTAATAAGCTAGTCCGTATAACATCTCAAAAAAATTCGAGAAAACGTATTCCCTTTTAAAAGGTGTCCACGTACGTAAAGGGTGGCCTAGTGTCATTTTTCGGCCAAGCGGTATCAACATATTTTATCGGCGAAGTTAACAAAAAACTGTCATATAAACATGGGTTCAAAATGCTTTGTTAAACAATTATAAGAAAAATACGGAACGATAACGGACTGATTTTCGTTCGATGTAAAAATATGTTAGTGGCGCACTTATTATTAAGTGCGTTTCTTTTTTTCTTTTGCATTATCTGCGTGTACTTATCCGACTATTAACTAAGCCGTTTAATTTTTCATAGATGTCAATGCTGCATTTTCTAAAACAGGCGACGCTTCGAAATGGAGCTTCGCTTCGTTGTTGTTTCGTATTTTTCTTATGATATTTTAATAAAACTTTTTTCAAAATCGTATGTTTATATGACACTTTTCTCTTTCGCTCGTAGAGATTGACCAAAAAATCCTGGGACACCCTGTATATTTTTACAAGACTGTTTATCGTTTCTTGAGAGGTTGAGTAAATAATTTACAACAATGATACCCTTAAAACTGTTTTCTACTTACTTTCTTTTGTCACAAATATATCAAATCCGCAGTCTATTTACAGTGACACACGAAAGTGTTCGCACACCTTTTAAAACGCAATAACTATTTTAAAACTGAACTAAGTGGCTTGCATTTTTTTAGATGATAGAGGGATTAGTCTAATAGACGACGACTGAAATGCTTTCTTTTTTAATATTGCTATCACTTGGAACGATAAAAAAAATCTCTCGTTTTTTAACTTTATTATCTGAGCCCATAACGAAAGTTTAAAAAATGTCTTTCGTAGATCTCGATAATTTATATCGAGGGTTTTTAATTTTTTGTTTTCATTCCAAGTAGAAGCAAAATTAAAGAAAAAAAGATTTTTAGCCATCGTCTAGCAGACAGTCCCTCTATCTTAGTCCCGTTTTAAAAGTTGTACGAACATTTTTGTGAGCCACTGTATTGCTCCCAATAACGTTTATTCATGCGACGAGTAAAATAAGTGGCACTAGCGATGAACCCCCCAAATTGACGCAACACTCGATACCTCGAGTCACTAATAAATGAATTGATGGCTCGTTTCGTTCGCAGAGAAGAACATTCATCACAACATGTCTTCCTTCGCCGAAACCGCTGGCCTGAATTACCTGAAAACGCAAGCAATCGAGTTCGTCAATTACAACAAACGGCAAATGAGTCGGATTTATCCGAAAGGCACGCGAGCGGACTCATCGAATTACATGCCACAGGTAATTCTGGATAGGCCAAGACTGAGGGAACCGCTGGGAACGGTTACGTTTAACGATCGATAATCGGAAACAGGTCTTCTGGAACGCTGGCTGTCAAATGGTGTCATTGAATTTCCAAACCGCGGATCTGCCAATGCAACTGAATCAGGGAAAGTTCGAGTACAACGGATCGTCGGGATACCTTCTGAAGCCGGACTTCATGAGAAGGGCTGATCGAAGCTTTGATCCTTTCGCGGACTGCCCTGTAGACGGCGTGATCGCCACGCAATGCAGCGTTCAGGTATTTTACATGCTTCTCGTAGTCGAAGATGGCGAGCATTCGATACAGACCTGAAAGCGTTTTAAAAACTCGATATAGATTCACAAGCAACACTCTGATCTTCGTGCAAAGTTTATAGATTATTTTGTAAACGTTAGAATAAGAAAAAAACGAAAAGTCATTTCTTGGACTTGAAGATTCCTTATTGTAAAAAAAAGAGGAGGTTGAAATTTCTTCAATACTGCACGAGTGAATGGCGACTATTAACCCCTTGTCATACCATTTTCTTCATAGTTAAAATTATTAGAAATATTTCAATTATAATAATTTCTGAGAAGAAAAAGGATAATTTATATTTATTGTGTCTACATTTATTTAAATGCTTAAATACTGATGATAAGAAATCAGAATTTTATTCAGACTGAAGAGAACGGAACGGCTTTCATATTTAACATTATTAACGCTTTCATATTTAACGTTATTACTAGAAATCTCCATCGCATGTCAAACTCGTTAAAGTATGCCAAGGGGTTAAAGGCCATTATAAACCGCCATACCATAATTCGAAACGGTTCTTGAATTATTGAACACAAGGACTTCGTTCTAATTTTTCCTCATAACATGAGGAACCGTATATTATCTATTTATGCATATTATGTATTTATACCTATGTTACAAATTGCTAAAAATGTAAGCGTGGTATAAGTAAACATACTCAATTTCGTATGTACACGATTAAAACCTCATTGCAGAATGGAAAATATTCCAAAAGGAAACTAACGCCAAAAGTATAAATATTCATTTCCGTACATACATATACTGATAAAGTTCGAAAAATGAAGTTACGAGTAAAAATTAGAACGAAGTCTTCGTAGAGGATATTTATAACGCGATTTATGCTCATATGTAATTATAATACAGGGTGTCCCAAAAATGTCTCGCAATCTGGAAATGGCGGGTTCCTCGGATCATTTGAAGCAACTTCTTCCTTTACAAAAATTTTCTGCGGGGCACCGTTAACGAGTTATTAACGAAAAAACAGTGACCAATAAGAATCGAGTACGGCTGACGCGAGGCGGCCCAGCCAACCAGCGCGCGAAGCCCAGTTCCGCTCATTGGCTCGGTCGCCTCGCGCCAGCCGAGCTCGCCTCTCATTGGTCACTGTTTTTCGTTGATAACTCGTTAACGGTGCCTCGGAGAAAATTTTTGTAAAGGAAAAAGTTGCTTCGAATGNGAAGAGAACGGAACGGCTTTCATATTTAACATTATTAACGCTTTCATATTTAACGTTATTACTAGAAATCTCCATCGCATGTCAAACTCGTTAAAGTATGCCAAGGGGTTAAAGGCCATTATAAACCGCCATACCATAATTCGAAACGGTTCTTGAATTATTGAACACAAGGACTTCGTTCTAATTTTTCCTCATAACATGAGGAACCGTATATTATCTATTTATGCATATTATGTATTTATACCTATGTTACAAATTGCTAAAAATGTAAGCGTGGTATAAGTAAACATACTCAATTTCGTATGTACACGATTAAAACCTCATTGCAGAATGGAAAATATTCCAAAAGGAAACTAACGCCAAAAGTATAAATATTCATTTCCGTACATACATATACTGATAAAGTTCGAAAAATGAAGTTACGAGTAAAAATTAGAACGAAGTCTTCGTAGAGGATATTTATAACGCGATTTATGCTCATATGTAATTATAATACAGGGTGTCCCAAAAATGTCTCGCAATCTGGAAATGGCGGGTTCCTCGGATCATTTGAAGCAACTTCTTCCTTTACAAAAATTTTCTGCGGGGCACCGTTAACGAGTTATTAACGAAAAAACAGTGACCAATAAGAATCGAGTACGGCTGACGCGAGGCGGCCCAGCCAACCAGCGCGCGAAGCCCAGTTCCGCTCATTGGCTCGGTCGCCTCGCGCCAGCCGAGCTCGCCTCTCATTGGTCACTGTTTTTCGTTGATAACTCGTTAACGGTGCCTCGGAGAAAATTTTTGTAAAGGAAAAAGTTGCTTCGAATGACCCGAGGAACCCGCCACTTTCAGATTGCGAGACATTTTTGGGACACTCTGTATAATTGTGTACATTGATTACAAATGTTTCGTTCGACGGAACAGGTAATAGCGGGCCAATTCTTGTCTGATAAGAAAGTCGGCACATACGTGGAGGTAGAGATGTACGGTCTACCAACGGACACGATCCGCAAAGAGTTTCGAACCAGGGTGGTGCCAGCGAACGGTCTGAATCCTGTTTACAATGAAGAACCGTTTCTATTCCGAAAAGTGGTTCTGCCGGATCTGGCAGCGTTGCGATTCGCGGTTTACGACGAGTCGAACGGAAAGCTTCTCGGCCAGAGAATCGTTCCTCTGGACGGTCTGCAATCAGGTTACCGGCACATATCTCTGAGAACGGAGGCGAACTTCCCGATGTCTCTGCCTATGTTGTTCTGTAACATCGAGATCAAGATCTACGTGCCGGACGGTTACGAAGGTCAGTGAACGTTACAAATAAATCATCGTAAAGTTTTACGCAGAGAATGGGATCCGATTTAAATAACAGCGTGACTTGCGACTTAAGAGCCTGAAAAAGAGGAGTAAATATCTATGTGACTCACGTTTCCTGCAGTTAATGGCGGCAGGTTTTTATCCCGTACAAAGATCCGAAGTTCGATGATAAGTTTATGCGGATCGATCATTGTTTTCAATTGCATTTCTAGGACTCATGGATGCGCTGACAGCGCCTCGGGCTTACAAAAAACCGGAGAGCATGTCGCAGAACAAGATGAGGGGTCTTGGGATAGAGAAGAGCGACAGCAGAGGCAACGACTCCGCGCCTGCTCATCATCGCGAGCCACCTAAACCCAGAGGTGAGACTCCGTATTTTATTGTTCTCTCTCGAATATACCGCTAACAATACGTGCGAGCTATTGTTCAACAAGTTGAGAACAATTTACATAGAGAACTGCGTCGGTTACAGAGGAGATGAAATTCGATCCCATCACGGAGGAGGTACTGCGTCAAGAGAAAGGCTATCAGAAGGTGCTCACGAAGCAGCAGAAGGAGCTAGAGTCCCTGAAGAAGAGGCACCAGAAAGACAAACTAACCGTCCAGAAACAGCACTGCGTCGCGATAGAGAAAATCATTAAAGGGAAAAAGTACGTGGCGCCGGCAAAGTGAAGTATTTCGCCTCAAAAGCTGACTAAAAGAGCTCCCAGAAGCTTCCAAAATTATTGTACAAGCTGGAAATGAGAGATTCCTGAAGTCATTTGGAGTAACTTTTTCCTTAGCGAAAATGCAATCCGCGGCTTCGTTTACGAGTTATTAACGAAAAACACTGACCAATCGGAGAGCGAGCGCGGCTGGCGCTCCGCCCTAGCGGCCGATGCCGCGTCGCGGCGGCCGTCTGACGCAGCGGTAGTGGTGGGGCCATACGCGAGAGTGGGGCGTCAGCCATACGCGATCTCTCATTGGTCAGTGTTTTTTGTTAATAACTCGTAAACGAAGCCGCGGATTGCATTTTCGCCAAGGAAAAAGTTACTTCAAATGATCTCAGCAACCCCTCATTTCTCGCTTGTACAATAATTTTGAAACATTCTGTATACTCGACTATGCACCATTCTGTTTGGTCCTGGCCCCATAAAAACCCACGTCTCTGTCCCATTTGCAGCAAAGCGCAACTATCGAGGGATCCGGTTGTTCGCCGTGCAGTTGCCGATCAAACGGATCAGTGGTCTCGACTAGCCACCAGGCAGCGTCGCGAGGAACATGATATGATCCGCAATCATTTGGAGGAACGACGGAACACATTGTGCAAATTGTGCGTGGCCGCACAGGCGGCTCAGCACAAGCAGCTCGCGGTCCGTCACGAACGCGAGATCAAAGAATTGAACGCTAGACAGGCTAGGCTGTCGGTGGAAAGCATGAGAGAGGTCATGAACGACAAAACGTTGAAGACTCGGGGGATCAAGGAGGGAAGGCTTAGGGAGAAGCAGCAGAACAACACTAAGAAGTTCATGGAAGAGCGCAGGTTCGCGCAGAGTATTCAGAACAGGGAGAAGGAGAAGCTGAAAGTAATTCACGAGAAGCAACTGGAAGAATTGCAAAAGAACATGAACGCGGTATGGATTAATCTCGTTAAAGTTTTCGAATGTCCTTAAAAATTGTCTTGACAGTTCAAGAAAACTGTTAACTAATTTAAACTTCGTGCATACGAATTATTATATATGTCCCAAAATTATAGATCTTCCGGGAAATGAGGGATTCCCGAGGCCATTTGAAGTAACTTTTTCCTTAGCGAAAATGCAATCCGCGGCTTCGTTTACGAATTATTTACGAAAAACACTGACCAATGAGAAATCGCATATGGCTGACGCCCTACTCTCGCTGCGATAGACGGCCGGTGCGACGCACTTATTGGCCGCAAGGGCGAAGCACCAGCTGCACTCGCTCTCCGATTGGTCAGTGTTTTTCGTTTATAACTCTTAAACAAAGCCGCGGATTGCATTTTCGCTAAGGAAAAAGTTGCTTCAAATGACCTCAAAAATCCCTCATTTTTCTCGGAAGTATTATAATTTTAGGACACCCACATCTAGGTGTTTAAAAATATTTTAAGAGGCTTCATCCAGTAATTTTTATATTTTCTTTCAAGTTTCTTTGGCGAAGTAAGATTTATATAGTTACTTAGAGATTTTTAATTGATCCGTAAATACTCGTTTGGATCCATACCTTTGGATTTGAAGAATTATACTAGGTTATAGAAAGGAAAATCTCAAGGAAGCGATTCATTCTATAAGTCCATATTCGAACATTTTATGATACATTTACATGATACACGTAACAATTTTTTATCGACCCTAGATGCTATTTAAATTGCCATTTTAATACACAATCATTATAGTTTGCCTGCCGACTTTAATATTATCTTTTGAAGATCTCTGCCAGTAGAACTGCGCTTTTGTGAGAATTAATTTAATGAATAAATTGTGGGACATCGATTGCGCAGACGGGAATGCAGCGAAATTGTTGTTGCAGATCATGGACATGTACAAAAACGAGGAGATGGAGTACGAACTGGCCCCGAAAACCGAGTTCTACGTGTGATGGCCGCCGCTTCCCGCCGTCTATTCGTCCCTCTGCGACTGACCGGTTGCAGAGCAGTCGAGGTGCTGCGTTCAGAGTATCCGCATACAAACGTTAATTACAATTGGAATTGGGATCAAGCCCCGTCGGCCGACGTTCTCGGACCCGTCGACGTTCGCCTCGTTGAATCCAGAATCCCGGACCACGTCAGCGTCCCGAGAACCGAGAGCAAACGGAGAACCTCCGCGTTAATCGTAACTCTAGTTCATTCTCCTGGATATTTTTTTATAAGAAGAAGCATCTTGTAACTCTCCATACTCTCCGTCGTCGCACGAGCAAGTACCTAGACTAAATAAGGGAGTCAATAAAAACTAAAGTGATCTAGTCAAGTTCTTATATTAATGATAAGTATATATTTATTATACGCACGGTGTGCTCGGTTGAAACGCGTACGGCGCCCCCGGCAAAATAACGACGCTGGCCTGCGATTCAGCAGAAAATGCAGTCCCGCGAAGAGGAAAAGGAACGTAAATGTGTCTCTCGTTCTACTATTGTCTCTTATATCGTTAAGCGTAATTTTGCCATGTAATATTTTTAGGTTCGACTGACAAAGAGTAGTTCTATTTTATCGTGCGAGATACGTGGTGGTCGTAACTACGATAAAAAGCGATTATTAAACGTCTGTAATTCGTTGATAACGGGATACGAGGTCAATGTCCGCGTACAGAAACTGTCGTTCGTGGTTTCGCAAGAACAGCCGTTTGGAGAACCGTCTTATTCCGTTCGACGAATGGAACACCCGCATTGCTCGGATCTGCGTTCACTGCTGAATCCCGGACCCATATTTTTTTAGGGGGTCCGTGTACACTTACAATCATTCCTCGAACGGTCGACAGAGAGAGAGAGAGAGAGAGAGAGAGAGAGAGAGAGAGAGAGAGAGAGAGAGAGAGAGACAAACAGACGGATCGACGCTGTCGGATTCCGGACAGGTAGAAGAATAATTGCGCACAGTACAGATTTGAACCGAACACGCCGTCGACAACAATGGAACCGGGTCGCGCGGAGCTAGCGTGCCGGCGAACTCGGCGATTTCAATATTTTTCGATTGTTAACGCTATTATCGAATTCTATCGTACGATGTGAATGTGGACCGGGGACGACTGTGTGTGCGCGCACGCGCGCGCGCGCGTGTGTTTGTGTTTCATCGCCTAACCGCAGTGGGGGAATCACTTTTTTCTCGCCGCTGCGACGATTCCTTCGCTGTAATAAATGTGACGTTCGTGTAACAACAAATAAGATAATGCTTTCACGGTCGTGTACGACGGCGTAGAATTAAAAAAAAAAAGTATTATAACACAAGCCCCCGCCCCCCGCGATCTTCAGTCACGATCGAGCAGGTACTCGTTCCGAGAATCCTCTTTCTTTTCTTCCGCCTCGAATGAGTACTCCTCGCGCGAATGGTCCAAAAACGAACTGGCGAACAGCATTGTATATAAACTAAGAGCAGAGAGAGAAAAGAAAACCCGAAAGAAGAGCCTAGCATAATGATTATCATGTCGTTGTTTTCATTCTAATAATGTTATTTACATAAATGATTACATTAACCCATGTTATATATATATGATATATATGATATATATATATATATATATATATATATATATATATATATATATATATATATATATATATATATGTGGATATAAAAGAATAAGGAAAAATAAAGAGATCGCTAGCTCACTAAACAAATCGTCGTCTCTTCGATCGATACTTTATTTTCTGCGGTGTGTTCGTACAGCTTGATCCGTGAATCGTGACTCGGCGGTGTTGGGGAACGATCTTAATTGCGACCGAGCCGATTAAATTACTTCCATCGCGTGGCAAACGTGACGCATTAATTACACGCGCGGTATCAATAGAATCTCGGCGGCTGGAAATTGAAATCGTGGCCCGGATGTCCGTCGTTTTGAGCCCTGAAGTTCACTTGGTTCGCGCCGACGTCGCCGAAGGGAACTGAAAATAGATCAACGATAGCGAACAGTAGTAACTTAGTATGTGCGACGCGTTTCGATTGGAAATTACCCCCTGGCAAGTGATTGAGATCCTGTCTGCCGCCGATAGGTGCTTGATGCGGGAAGAACTCACTTCCAAGACCCAAGTTCCCTTCCTGACCCCTGTAGTCCCCGAAAAACGCAGCTGCGCCACCGTTCCCTTGGACGTTTTGGTAGGCTGAGGCGTCATTGTTCGGGAAACCGCCCTGGTAGTCTTGGAAATATCCTTGGTCGGTTACTCTTGGTAGTCTTGCAGCTTCGCAAGCGACGACGACCATAAGGCACAGCTGGAAAGTTAAGTTAGAAGTGATCTTTTCTTTCTGGTCCTGTTGACGATGGATTTTGATTTCAAGAACTGGTGAACGAAAAACTGTACAGTAGGGATTCCCTTGTCTGAACATTTATATTCTGCAGTATGTATGTATTATGTGTAATACCAAAATATGGTAGAATATATATTCTAATATATTCTAATATATTTTAATATATTCTAATATATTCTATCATATATTCTACCATATTCTGGCATTGGAACGTTCTATTATGTAATCATTGTATTATTTAGATACATTATCGTCTAGCAGAGAATTTGAATGGGAAGTTTAGATAATGGAATGTGGCAAAAATGAACGTTCAGATCAGTGAGTCTCTAAAGTATTTATGAATTGAATAGCTTTATGTTTCATCCATGTAAACTTTATGTACGTTTATTGAACCCATTGAAACTTAAGCAAATTGAGCCATGAAGATTCGGAGCAACTTTTAAACGTCCAACTTTAGAGATTAAACTGTATAAACGAATCAACATTCTTTAAAACAGATATTATTCTTTCGTACCGAATAGATTGTGGATTTTATTGCATTTGTGACAAAACTAAATTAGTAAAAAAACAATACATACCCATACATGACATAACATTGCTAAACAAAAATTTAAGGATACCATTGATGAGATAATATTGGATATTGTTTCCAGATTGTATTTTGTTTTGTATTTTGATTTTATATGTATATAGATCCCCGCAGCCAATTAATGAAATTGATCAACTAAGAAATGAAACGTCGCGCTAGTGCATTGGATTATAAATAAAATAACAAAGGAATAGTATTACTTACAAAGTATTTCATAGCTAAGGCTGAAAGTGGCACGGGATATCCTCTTGAACGTGAACTGAACGGGGTTCGCCCGCGTGCATACGTTTTATACGCATTGCGAATCATGTCGAAAGCCTTCTGTAAAAATCTGACTGGATGTTTACGCTCGTGAATTGTCATAGAGAGAAGAAAATCGACGGTTTTAAAATCGCGAACCGTTTCGTCCCGCCAGCCCTGCGTTGTGCAATTCCCAACGTTGCGAACTCGTGGCGAAACGACGATTCCTTGAAATAATCGAGCATCGGTTGGAAAGCTTGCCACGAAAGGACGACCCGCAATTAATTCCCTGCTATTCCCTTCCTGGCGACGGCTTGGCGCAATCAGGCTGTCTGATAGAAGGCAACGAACAAAAATGTCGTGAGCCGTACCGATTAACGTTCCGAATTTCCTACGTTTCTTAATTAATCGAACGAAAGAAATGTTGCTGCGGGAACGAACGGATTACAGTATCGACGTGAGTATTCATTAACACATCTTTGCAAATTAATTGTTGCCGAGCAACGATTAGGACAGCGTTGCAAATTTTATTCCGAAAAAGAATGCAAATATTTGTATGAGTTATCATCACAAGCTAGTTGAAATCACTTTCACTATTTTCTAACACGGATTTAAATTATGTAGTTTTATATTGTAACTGGTTTGAATTAATATTTAATTTAATTTGAACTTGTAATAAATTGAAAATAATTGAATATTTCGTTAGTAACGAAATAATTGCTAGACAAATAATAATAATAGTAGTAGTAATAATAATAATAGCAATAATAATTATAATAATTACAACCACAAATAATTACTTGAAGATAATTCCACCATAAATCAAGACCGGGGCGTACGGTTGCCAAGTAAAGATCTCGTAGATGTAATCTCGCCAATCATAAATTTCTCTCATTTACTAATTACTCATAACTATCATTCGCTAATTACTCATAACTAATAAACTTTGATTCTGCTTCTTCGTTCTGAGTCATAGAGCGTGCAACGAAGCAACTTTCAAGGCTGCCGGTATTTCAGTGAGTGCGGCACGAAACCCCATAATAGCGATCGGTTTATTGGTACATCTGGTCTGCAGTTGTACTCGTATATTTCCTGTGAGAGATTAGGCTCATTCGCCTCGAACCACGCCCTCGGCGGTTGTACCAATTGGCGTTGGATGGCATTAGCATCCGCTTTCCTGAATTCTAACGAACCTTTCCACTCAACGGGACACGTCTAATTAACTCGAAAGAACACAACATTTAGGTTAGTTTTTTTCTGAAACGATAAACGCGCTTCTGTTTTAACGATGCCCTTATTTAGAACTTTATAAATACGTACGTACCACTCGCGGCAATTTTGTCTTCGTAAAGCGTTGAACAGCAGCACCTGGGGGAGAGAGAGAGAGGCTGTTTCTCGGGGATCTATCAACATTTTTTAGCGGACGAATTACTGCAAGCTGTCCAACACGTGTACGGCTAAATAAGGCGCTCGTTTGACACAAACTTGCGACAATATTTTACGAGAAAATTCCAAGCGATCCAAGAGCTCCTTTCAGACGGTTACGCCAAGCCATGACCTCTGTTTCACAATGCCCGCTGCTTAATATTGCGTAATATTTATTTGTTAATATTCAAACAAATATGTGGACCTTGTTTAACGCGCCGCAAACCGTTCAAGCCGGTCTGCCAAAGCGACACGAATTTCTCAAAACAAGTACACCGCGAGTCCTGAAACAAATGCGGCACATCAAAACGCGGCATTCGCGTAAAGTGGCACACGCCTGCGTAGCCGGATAGTCTGCACAGCTTTCTAAGCACGCAGACTTTATCGCGGCAGAGGCTTTTCTTTTTGACTGAATCGTATCTTCGAGAAGAGACTACCGAACTAGAACCATCGAGAACGGGGAAAGTCGGGAGGAACGAGGCGGTGTGCGAATTCGACAAGACCGACGCCATCCTTTTTGTTTCTTGTTTTATTGTACAACCTGCGAAACGAGTGGACTCGCTAAAATACGCATGACTACGATGCATCGTGGCCGGGTGATGATAGCCGCGTCGTGGCCGATCCCGTTCGACGAAACAAGCCCCGCGCGCGAGAACCTCGGATCGTTGCCGCTTTTCCAGATCGTTCGAACATCGACGATCGATCCACTGGATCGCCGCTGTGCTGGCACCGTGCTGTCCGATCCACGGACCGATCCTACGGGCACCACGGTTTCACCGGCGACTGAAATACCGGCTGAGGGTGGACGACCGGCTGCGAGATTTTCACGTAGTTCAGCTGCGGCGGCGGCACGTGGACCAGCTTCGGCTGATGATACTGGACCGGGTAGCTGATCTGGGGCTTCTGGATCACCTGGGTGATCGGCACCTCGTACTTCTTCAGCAGGACCTTCGGCTGCTCGTACATCACCTTCTGCACCATGGGCGCGTAGTAGACGGGCTTCTGGTAGACCGGCGCGTACGAGATCATCGGTTTCTGGTAGACGGGCAGCACAACCTTCGGCTGGACCACCGGCTGGACCACCGGCTTCACTATTACAGGGGGCGGTGCTGGCTTCACGTACGTGATCATCGGCTTCTGGACCACCTGTATCGGCTGATGGTAGACCGGCATCGGTGCCTGATGGACCACCGGTTTCACGTAAATCTGCGGCGGCGGCGAGTACGAGATCGGATGAGAGTACACGGGCGGGCACGGGTTATGGTAGGACTCCCGTTTCGGCTTCACCATCATTGCCTCCGTCATGGCCCCGTTCTCCTCCACCATGCCATCCAGCATCTGCGCCGACATCTCCGAGCGGACGCTGGACAGCCATATCAGGCATGGGATCTGCAAGTTGCGAAAGTTATGGATTGCGATACGTGCAGCAATTTCTCCCTAATTCGCGCGCGCTCAGATTTCTCCCTAATTCGCGCACGAAAATGGACAAGTTCGGTAGAGGAGATACCAATTATTTCTTGTTTTTATAGTCGTTTGACAGTTGGCAACTACGCAAATATGACAGCACATTTCGAATCACTTTCGTCGTACAGTGAAAACTCGCTAATTTTTTAATTTACTTTTATATTATTTTAGATTATTATTTATATTATTTTTTTTAGGTTATTCGTATCGTAAAGATACATTTATTGAGTTGTTTATTCAATTTATATGTTACTTACGGCAAATGTTGCGATGACACTTGGTAAAAATTAGAATAAATGTCTTATTGTTACTTTTATGAACTATATATAAAATATAAATGTCTTTTGTGCTCCGTAAATCTAGTGTTAAACGAACGTGGACAATTTGGGGAGAGAAGATACGATTGTTCGAGCTTTGTACCTCGTTTTTATAATTGTCGACAATCGACAACTGTAGAAATGAGCCGCGAGGCTCGAATAATCGTATCTCCTCTTCCTAAATTCTTTATTTTTCTGCGTGATCTGGGAATTAGGAAAAATTTTGCTGTAGATTCTCCCGTTCGATGAGCTTTGTTACCCGTCGATTTTTAGTTTAAGCAAGATTAGTCTCGCGTTTTCACAAAAAAAGGAAGCGTGATGCACGCGGTCATGCGTTTCTAATGAAACACGATTCGATAAATTGCTGTCGCTGTATCTCAGGGGTGGCCAAAACGTTAACCAAGCTTGACTGGTCGATCGCATAACTATTTCTAGTCGCCCGCCTGTCTGATATCATCTGTGTTCATTTTATATTTCAACTTATTTTTGATACTTTTCTAATTAGTAACCAGTATAAACTAATACTATATAATTTATTCATCAAATGAAAACAATTTTTAAACTTTCTTCATTCAACATTAATTTTATTTTAAACTTTATGAATTTAATACCCAATTATATTCTCATTTTACTATTTTTTTTATGCTATTTAGTGTTCGTTTTATCAGATTAGAATTACTAGTATAAACTATATAGTATAACTATAGTAGTATAATTATAACTAGTATAAACTGTACTAATATGTACTATATCATTTATTCATCAAATAAAAACAATTTTTAAACTTTCTTCATTCAATTTTAATCTAATTTTAAGTTTTATAAATTCAGTACCTAATTATATTCAAATTTTACTATTTTTTTACATTATTTAGTGTTCGTTTTATCGGATTAAAATTACTAGTATAAACTAACATTATATAATTTATTTATCAGATCAAAATAGATTAAAAAAATGTTTAATCTATTGGAGCCAAATAGTCGATACCAATACCTCGATAACATTAAATCCTCTCAATCTTTCCACCGTTCTATACTCGGCCCACCCATTTTTACCCCAAAAACCCTAATTTCTCCCTAATTCGCGCTCAGATTGCGCCAAAGAATTGCCAATTTCGGAAAAGGAAATACGATTTCGTCTCGTTTTCATAGTGATTGAAAATCGGCGACCATAAAAACGAGCCGCGCAAGAGCCGAATAATCGCGTCTCCTCCTCCCAAATAGTCCATTTTCGTGCAAATTCCTCTGCGCGGGTTAGAGAGAAATTCACCGTACATAGAACAGCCCAGTTACGAACATCAACGAATACGTTACAAAAGAAGTGATTCGACGGATCTAATCGCCGTACGAGCGACTTTTCAGCCTAGAGCCGTGCAGCAGTGCACGGCGTTCAACGCAACGGATTCGCCGCTTATTCGAGGATCGGGTGAAAAGTTGAAATTGCAGTAATTTCGGTATAAGTGCCGGTGCCTCGGCCCGGCAGTCGCGTTCTTTTAACATTCGCGGCGCGGTCCGCCGGCGACGAACGTTAATTATCCGCACGCCTGCCTACGAAAGCCGCGCGCGCGGTTGCGAAGGCGTAAAGCGACGGATCCGCCACCCCCCACCCCCACCCCCCAAGGTTTTGCTTACCAATAGCCTGAGCATGATTCGCGGAGAAGGCTGAGAACGATGGGTCCCCGATAAACGACGGATCTACTGTCCCGGGCGAAACTAGGAGCGCGTCGTGCGTGCCCGTCGGTTTTATAAACTTTTGCTCCACTTCGAACCGGGCAGGTTTCTCGCTTGCCGAAGTCGAATGTGATTCCCTTAAGCGGGCCGTAAAAAGCGGTCGTCGGTCGGGCGTCTATGACGCAACTTGGTAGCGCCCCGGTATTTCCTGAATAAATTCTCTGCACCTCGGGCACGGGCTCGGGTTACGCGGCCGTCGTTAGACAGGGCGTTCGTCATTTGCAACACCGTCGTCGTCGTCGTCGTCGTCGTTGTCGACGTACACCGATTGGCCGGTTTCTGGACCGACAAAACCGGAGGGCAGGTTCGTAACGCGGCCGAACGCCCTCGGGTGTTTCGCCTTCAGAAATTCGACGGGCTCGCGGGAAGGGAGAAGAAGAAAAAAAGCCGTGTCCCGATTGAAATATTTCCTATCGCCGCCGCCACCGTTTCCAGAGAGCCGGTTAATCATTCCGTGATCGATCGTTCCAGATACAGGCGAAAACCATTTGTAGACAATATCGATGTAAATTATAATCGAGCGTTAATATAGATGCTGTTCTTTTGCTTTGTATCAGTGTGTTGGTTGCGCGACAGTTTCGACGATTTCATGGAAATGAGAAATTAGAAGATTGAATGATGGACGAGATCTTCTTTTACGTATTTTTTTGGAGATACATACATATGTTTTTGAATGACGATGTACTATAATCTACTATACTATATACTATACTGTACTATATACTATACTGTACTATATACTATACTGTACTGTATACTATACTATATACTATACTATATACTATATTGTACTATAAACTATACTGTACTATATACTATACTATAATCCGTTAGGGTAGTTTGACGAGTCTGACTCGGTGATGAAAATTTGTAGCAACAAGCATGAATGTTTTTTCATTCTTTTAAGTTGGAATAAAAACCTGTCCTCTTGTCGTCAATATTTATACGTATATATTATGCGTATAATTATGCGTATATTTATGCATAAATCAATTTTCTTTCCATTCGAAGAATTTATTACGAAGAAATTCTCGTCGACTGTGAAAAAAAATATTATGTTGGGAGGGAGGGAAGGTGCAAGTGGTTAAGATGTAGATTTTTCGCAAGAATGTTGCAAATTCGTTTGTAGATGTTATGCAACAATTTTGTTGTTTCGATACTGTTTACCAATGCTCAGAGAATGTAATAACGAAGGTATATGCAACTGTCTAAGCGTGTAATGTGTAATTTGTCAATACAAGTTGAGATATGTTTAAAGAATTTCAGTTTTTTTAATACAGTAAATTCTCCCGAATTATCGCTGGGCTTGTAAACAAAAATGGAAGTACAGTAAATTCTCCCTAATTTATCTCCTTAATCATTTATTCGCCCTAATAAGCTGACCGTCAATTAGGAAGAATTTATTGTAATTCGCTGTTGGCTATTGCGGACCGGACATGATTTACAGTTTTTATTACCTACAGATATTCAAGCTTGTTTTCAAACGAGTGTGAATGTCTTTCGCCATGACGTTTATTCGTCTCGTTGCAATAATTCCCGACTAATGACACTCGAATGCTTGGAATTGGCAACAATGGACAATTATTGCAGTTGTTCGAACGTGGCTGAACACGTATGTCCAATGAAACATGTAAATTAACATAAACATTGATAATGTTAATGAATTGTCTGAGTAATTTATACACGTTTCAAAGCGGTTGCAACAGCTAACTCTGGTTAATTGCAAGTATTCATTTTCTATTTTTCTAAAATAATTGAGGGTGTTCAATATAGTAAATTCTCCCTGATTGACCCTCAGCTTGTACACGAACAATTTGGTACAAGGACAATTTGGGGAGAGGAGATACGATTATTCGAGCCCAAATTGTGCATTTTTGTTTACAAGCTCAGGGACAATTGGAGAGAATTCACTGTATACCTGAAAAATAATATACTGAAATCAATGGAGAAGGAATGCTAATTATTTATATATAAATAATATTATATAATAATATATAAATAATATAATATTATATATAAATAATATATATTATTTATATCCTACTAAAGGATAACACTAAATTATTGTACAAGCAAGAAACGAGGGGTTCCTGAGGTCATTTGAAGCAACTTTTTCCTTTACAAAAATTTTTTCCGAGACATCGTTAACGAGTTATTAACGAAAAACAGTGACCAATGAGAGGCGAGCTCGACTAGGCGCGAGGCGGCCGAGCCAACGAGTGCGCGAAGCCCAGTTCCGCTCATTGGCTGGGCCGCCTCGCGTCAGCTAATCTCGCTCCTCATTGGTTCTCTATTTTTCGTTAATAACTCGTAAACGAAGCCGCTAATTGCATTTTCGCTAAGGAAAAAGTTACTTCAAATGACCTCAGTTATTTCATTTCTCGCTTGTATAATAATTTCGGGACACTCTGCATACCCTGTCCACGAAAAAATGCCATAGACAGCGAGGAGATCTACAAAACGTCACTCTTAAGTATAGTAAACAGATGAGACATCAGCTGGTGACGGGGACGGGGAGATAAATTTCTCCATGCAATTTTTTCTTGCACAGGGAGCACTTATCAATCCATTCACATTCATAATTAATTACGGGCGTTATCGGCACCGGTAAAAAATATCGCAAGAATTTCTAGGCCAACAGGTTCGAAGCCTTCGATTTGTAAAATCGTCTACTTTTCCTTTCCCCGTGACGAAGACGATTACACGTATTTATCACATATTTACGGCCGGACGGAGAAAACGTGTGCGTGTCGGGGTGCGCGACGGTCTCTGGATCGGCAGAATCGCGCGCGCGGCGTAAGCGACCTAATTAAGAAATGGTATAGTACAAAGAAAAAGTGACTTTTATAGCCAGTTGCTCCGACGAACTCGCGATCGCACGACGCACTTTCGAAATCGTTCAATCATCCGAGCCCCGCTCCGGACCGCTTCGATCATTGGAAAGGGAATGCGCCGGCCAGTGACTGCAATAGGCGGCCAGGTAAATAGAACAACAATTTATTTGAACAACAATACATTAACTAGAAAACAAGTGGACTATGTACAACGCAGAGAAACGATTCCGTTCCTCTCTCTCTCTCTCTCTCTCTCNAAATATCGCAAGAATTTCTAGGCCAACAGGTTCGAAGCCTTCGATTTGTAAAATCGTCTACTTTTCCTTTCCCCGTGACGAAGACGATTACACGTATTTATCACATATTTACGGCCGGACGGAGAAAACGTGTGCGTGTCGGGGTGCGCGACGGTCTCTGGATCGGCAGAATCGCGCGCGCGGCGTAAGCGACCTAATTAAGAAATGGTATAGTACAAAGAAAAAGTGACTTTTATAGCCAGTTGCTCCGACGAACTCGCGATCGCACGACGCACTTTCGAAATCGTTCAATCATCCGAGCCCCGCTCCGGACCGCTTCGATCATTGGAAAGGGAATGCGCCGGCCAGTGACTGCAATAGGCGGCCAGGTAAATAGAACAACAATTTATTTGAACAACAATACATTAACTAGAAAACAAGTGGACTATGTACAACGCAGAGAAACGATTCCGTTCCTCTCTCTCTCTCTCTCTCTCTCTCTCTCTCTCTCTCTCTCTCTCTCTCTCTCTATCTATCTATCTCTATGGTAGCTTTTTGGCTGGACGTCTTCGTGTTTGGTGTCGTCGACTGTGGATCAGTGTTTCCATCCGTGGCTCTTGGTTTGATGGTGGAATACGTGTTTGTAGACGGGCACGTGGACCGGGTACGGTTTCGGGATGGGCACCGCAAAGTGCTTTTCAACTGTCACCGGGTACGGTTTCTCGACCACGTACGGCACCTGTGCAACAATCACGTTTCAATGTACCCGTCGAATTTTCATAATGCTGCGTAATAAGAGTTGCGCCAGTGTACGTTTCGCAGCAACGCGATATCCAGGAGAGGCCTCCGGCGGCGCAATTGTTAACGTCACTTTCAAAAGGACATTGAATACATTAAGATATTGAGAAACGCGTTACGGTTGTCGTGCTTCTGTTCAACACTTTGACTGCAATGCCATCGGTCGCGTTATATGTATTGTCAAGGTTACAAATTTTCTACCGTAATCTGCAAACATGTAGCAAAGTTTGTTAAAGCCAAGAAAATGCTGTGTACAGTAATATGAAAAAGTGACACTGTGTGTCTTTGATGGACATTATTGTGGCAGTCAACGTGTTAACTTGACATTTCTAGTGGTGGCCAAATTTTGTATAGCTTGTTTACATCGCCAGTTGATGTGTGGTTAAGTCTATTTTAAGTATATTTATTAATGTCTCTGCGGAATAATTTCGATCTGAAAGTAATAATGATAATGTATTCTAAAAATGTAGTGTATACGATTTGCTTTGAGTTTTTCATACGAAATATTGTTGTCGGATTTGTGTTCAAAAGTGGTGAAACTGTTTAAGATCCGGAAATTAAAAACCGAATCTAACTTTAGAACCTAACCCTATTTTAATAAACATAAAACAATTTTATCTTCAAATGATTTAGCGTTCCATTAGATTCAGTTTCTAATTATAATATATATTAATTATTTAATTATAATATATATTATAATATTATATGTGTATTATTACATTATAATTATAATATATATTATAATATTATATGTATATCATTATATATTACAATTATAATATAAATTATATTCCAGCATCCGTGTCTAGATCCAACTAGAGAGCGACGAATCACGTTGCGCCCAGCGTAGTTGACATTCGAATGTAATATAGGATTACAAATTTCACGTATCACGGTTACGAGTGCGTACCTTTTTCTCAACTATGTAGGGCTCGGGCTTCTCCACCGGGATCTCCACATGTTTGATGACCTCGACGGGGACCGGATGCGGCACTGGCAATTCCACCTGATACGGCTGAGGCACCGGCACCTTAATCTCCTGAGGAACCGGCACCGGGACAGGATGCGGAATCGGTATGGCGTACTTTTTGTAAATCGGTATCTCGACCGGCTTCGAGGTCTCGTGGTAAGTGGAGCCGCCATGTTCCTCCTCGTAGGAAGCTGACGCTACCGCCACCAGAGCTGTCAAAATCTGCAACGAGAAGAAAGAAATGCTTGAAATCGCCGTCGATGAAACAGAAATCTAATTTGCGCGATTTGTTTCTCGATTTTTCAAAGTTCTGCAACGATCGAATTCGAATTCAAGAGGTCCCGGCATAAGAAAATAACCTCCGCCTAAAACGTCGAACAGAGAACCCCCTCCCCCCCTCCGGAAAAAAGAAAAAAAAATTAGCCTCGACAACTCACGATGATCCTCATGATATCTCTTATTGTACACAGGCGATCACGCTCGAACGAATCCAGACGACGGGGCCCGCAGTGTTAACTCGCCGCGATCTGTTTGATGCTTTCAAAGTCACGGCCAAGTGTTTATATACCAACGTCACTTTCTCCCCTTCTCTTCATTACGTTGACTCTTTCTGCTCGTCGTGTTAATCCGCACACGTACACGGATCGCCCCGGCGATTGTCTGCTGCGTCGATGTAACAACGAGCGTGCTGCCCCCCCCTCCCCCCTCCTCGTTCGCCCCTGGGCAAATACCCACGCAGCGGGGCACCATCTTTCGCGAAACGGATCTGCATAATACGAGGTGAGGATCAACGACCAGAAATGTTTGGCGTATCTCGCGTTTTCCACGAAGCGGGATTTACTCGATCGCGAATTCGATTCCGCGGAATACCCGAGAGTGTACATACACGCCCGATTTGATTGGAACCGGAGTAGCCGGGAATAATTATCGACGTAATATCGGAGCCGCGTCCTTATCCGTTCGCGTAATTACGCGCACGAGTTTCGAACGGAGTCAAAGATATTTGTGAAATTCGCGAGCACCGCTCCCACGGACGCCAAATACAGCGGCCGCTTTCGATTTTCACCGTATCGAAGGTGAACGATACATTGTTCGTCGTCGAAACCGCCGCGCCGCCGCGGCGAAAGGAAATCGCGCGACGGTTCGACACAATTATCCCTTTCATTGAGCGATTACGCGACTCGTTAGCGGAGGCGCCCGCTCGCGCGCGTGGTTACCGACCGAGCGCGATCGATGTTTTTGATAGTCGACGACGACGATGCGCAACGATCTCCATTGTACGCTGGAAAGAGAATAGACTCGGTCGACCGCGGCGAACGCTGCTCGGTCGTGGTCTAGTTCACCGGTTTAGCAATTTGTAAATTACTGTCAGCCGGCTTGACTACAAGTCGAGGCGTTCCCATCTCGAGCGGACACGCGATCCCGAAGAACTGCAGCTTTCGCGCCGATGGCGCGATCTCCGCCCAGCATTCGCATAATTCTGTCGATGTTAATTCGCTTTCTGTGCGGCAACAATTATTTGCACGGGGTGAATCTGGTTGCTTGACGCTTTGACTGCCACGCGGATAACCTCAAAAATTCTGTAGAATTATATTATTCTATTTAATTAAATTGAAAAATTGGAGAGCTGAATTATATGGCATCGATTACTTTCCCGCTGTTCTTATGGTTTGTGCGTTCTAATGGAATTAGGGAGATGTAATAGATCGGCGGAAAAATCAAAATAAATAAATAAATAAATAATTCCGTCATGCATGGGTGAGGCGGAAGTTAGAGTGTTAAACAATGAACGAGAATTTACTAAGGGAATTTTCTTTGTACTTGTAGATTAATTTATTTAACTTTACAGTCAACAAGCTACTCGACATCGACAACTTTCGTTCAACGGAACATTAGTATTGTTACATAAAAGGCAAGAAGTGGTTATCGTCAGAAGAAGTAATAAACGAATCAAGTGTTCGTTGAGGTTTACTTGTTTCTTGTAGCAGCATTTTTCTAAAAGCGGTGCTACTTATCTATTCTTTGCAGGAAAAAGGTGCAGAAGTCTCGTTGCCGCGGTTGCAAAGTAATTCGAGATTTTAATTTCATTAAAATACGATGCCGAGAATAATCAACGTTTCGCGAATTCTAAGTTTACTTTTTCGGTACAAGCTATCAACGGTAATAAGAGTGAAATGAGAATCGTAAGGTTCTTTCCTCGTGAGATACGAGTTTTCTTTCCTCTTCGGTAATTAGAAACTACACTCGGATTACACGATTGTAACAAGTGCACTTTAACGTGCTGCGGATAAGATGTGCGATCATAACAATGTTTAAAGAACAAGATACTTTTGCATTTCTGCATTAGAATGAACGTAATGCATGCTGTCCGCTATCTGATCTTGATGAGTACGAGCCCATCGTAATTACTATACTGTGCATGTTTATGCGATTTCTATAATGATTATGATATATGAATGTAATATATAATATAATATAGATAATAATAAATAAATATAATATATATATAATACATAATAAATAATTTCTATAATAATCTATAATAATACCGGGTGAGTCATTTAACTCTTTAAGCTTCATTTTGCTCGTAAATTACAAGCTCTATAAAAAAATGTCTCGAACAAAAGTACCTCGGTATCAAGCGAAGCATACGCGACAACAATTAATTTCTCGCCATCTTTCTTTTTTAACAAAATAAAAAATATGTTCGCTTCTGTTCACGCCAAACAACTTTGTTTGTTCAATGCAATGTCTTTAACAAGAAAAGTGAAGGTGAAAGAGTTTCATCGAATTACAATGTCTGAATTATCACGAGATAATGCAATTTTATTTAAATACTCGAACAGTTACATCAACACATATAACACAGTAATTAGTAGATTGCAGATTATTGCACAATTTTCGTTACCAATTTTCGTAATACAACAATAACGCAATATTTGCGTGGTTAATATTATACAACACGTGACGTCGCGATTACATTATACATCAATTTTGGTAAATTTTTTCAAGAACAACGCTTCTCGCGATTCGAATTCGCAAAAACTACGAAACAACATCAACGAGACGAGAACTAAAGGCAGATTGTTTATATTCCGCAGATCCCTCTGGCTTCGCAGTCCTCGTAAATCGTGAACGCTTCAAGATCTAACACGCAGACGGAGCGTCGGGATCTGCATCGATCATCGCTCGCCGTTCATCAAACTTTCGAACACACGTTCTCTCGGACACGCGGTAACGCGTTCCAATCCTCGTAAACGCGATCGCCCGAGGCCGTGAAGTGCTCGGTACAACAACCGGAGATATTTATACGTTCGTGTGTGCACGGTTTCGAGCGCAACGGCGCGCGGCGAGGGGGGCGCAGCCGGTCGTAGAGAGAGGGGCGTGGCCTAAGGAGAGAGAGAAGTCTCTCGGAAGATTCGAATGGTGTGTGCACACGGTGTGCCGCCGCGTATCGGCGAGCGGAACAGTGAAAGTGTATCCCAAGTAAAAGTGGTTTCGATGCAGGAACGCCGAGCGCTGTCTCGGGCTCATTATGGTCAATCAAGATCGGGGCGGCACGGCCGGTCCGGCGGCTGGTTTCTTTCCAGATCGATCGGTAACAGGCCGGATGACGAGGAAACGGCCGGAAAAGATTACGCGCTTCCCCATTGTCACGATAACGAGGCAGGAAGAGGAGGATCCCTCGCCGACCAGCGCCGCGCGACCCAGTGGCGTTTCCTGTCCGATCATCTTCCACGATATCCGCTAATTGAATTATTCGCGCCGCTCGACGCGCGCACGCGACCGCGTTTACTCGCTCGCAACGATCCGCGCAGCTTGCGATCTTTCTGCTTCCTTCTCGATCTTTTTGCCTCTTTTCTTTCTTTCTTCAAAATCATTTATTAACGATATATATCTTCTACGAAAACTGGTAAAAAACTTAACGAGTGTATAAAATTACAATAATAACAAATTCAACATTGGCAACGAGATTGTCGGCGACAATCTCGGCGCGGAGTCGTCGCGCGGACCGCTCGCTCCACATGTAATTAAATAATTTCCGTTTCCAGGTAGAGCCGCGGGTGCGAGGTCCAGCGAGGAACGTCTCTGGAGGCACGACAACGTCGTCCAGCAGCTTAGTGCCATCCTTTGCCTTTCGAGGTGTAATGGAACACGTGCTTGTAGATCGGCACATGGACCGGGTACGGCTTCGCGACCGGGATTGGGAACTTCTTCTCCACGTAGACCGGATACGGCTTCTCGACGACGAACGGCACCTGTATAACAGCATAATCGTCGCTCGTTAGAATAATTGTACAAGGAATCGTCGCGGGATTCTGCGATCCGCGGAGCTGTATTCTAGGATTCGATACTAACATGCTTCTCGACGACGACCGGCTCGGGCTTTTCCACCGGGATCTCGACGTGTTTGATCACCTCGACCGGATAAGGTTGCGGAATCTCGATGGGAACGCTCTGCGGCTGAGGAATCGGAATCTCGATCTTCTGGGGTACTTGAACTGGCACCGGATGGGGAATCGGTATCGCTGAAAATTTATTGTACCTGGTCAGTATGCCGTACGCGGCTCGGCGAGGTTAAATTCGCGATGCTGGTAATTTCTTCCTAATTTGTGTGCTCTCGGATTACACGCGAAAGCGGAGAATTTCGGGAGAGGAGATACGATTGTCCGATGATAATCTTGCGGCTTAAAAATTGGCGATTTAAAATAGTTGGCGATTGGCGGAAACTGTGGAAACGAGACGCAAGGTTACGTCAAGGTTATTCGCCGTTGCAAATTATTTGTAGTCACGTTTTTCGTAAATGTATAAAATCCGCGATCTCTTTCTTAACACTTTGACGGCCGCATTGAGAATCTTAAATATTTCATAGAAAATTATGGTATTTCGTTTAATTTAAGGATAATTACAAAGCAAAATTTTATATAACGTAATTAGTCGTTCAATATTCTTGTCACTTGCGAAAATGAATAAAATTGAATAAAATTATCGGCATGAAAAGGGGGTGATTAAAAAGTAAATTTTAAATAATTCTGTCGCTGGTATATGGGTGACGCGACGGTCAAAATGCTAATAGTGTAATTATGATACACTTTTTAATAGTGTAATTATGATATACTTTGTTAATAATATAAATAGGCTAATTAAATAATATATCATAATATAATTATGATACGTTTCTTTATAATGCTGAATCGATTTTCGTCAAAGTGTTGAAAAGACCATATTGCAATTTTGTATGCACATGCAGTAAATTCTCCGCAATTGTCCCTCAAACAAAATGGACGATTTGGGAAGAGGAGATGCGATTATTCGAGCATTGCGCCTCGTTTTTATAGTCGCCGATGGCCAATAACTATAAAAACGAGCTACGTGGCTTGAATAATCGCATTTCTTCTTCTCAAATTTCTGTTTAGAAGCTGAGCGACAATTGGAGAGAATTTATTATAATTTTAAACATCGATGTACAGTTAGTTCTCCCTAATTGACGCTCAGATTCTGCGCAAATATAGACAATTTGGGAAGAGGAGGTACGATTATTCGAGCCTCGCGGCTCGTTTTTATAATAATCGGTCCTCCTCTTCCCAAATTGTCCATGTTTGTCTCCAAGCTTCGCCTCAATTACGGAGAATTTACCCTTGTTAATTTACCTAAAATATACCATCGACTTCTGACCACGAATTAGGGCGAAATTACCGTACTTATGTAGAATGATTGAAAAATAAATGTATCACCATATTTCTTATAGATCGGTATCTCCACAGGCTGGGATTTTTCCTCGTAGGTCGAGTGGCCGTGATCCTCGTCCAGATGGCTCGCGGAAGCCACGCCTACGAGCGCCACCAAGAGACCAACAAGAGCAATCTGTAAACATTCGATCGTTAATCATCCGTTCGGCTGATAAATGGTTACCCGTAAATCACTATCCTTCGTTTCTCTATCGAGCCGCCTCCAGTCGTCCGCGAACAGGAAAAAGAGAGTCGGGGGGGAGGGGCCGGTGTCCCAGACCGTTTAGATTCAATTTTCTGATAAATTGACACCGGCGCGGCGTCCCGAATAATTTTCCTGTGACGCGTGCGACCGCGGCGGCGCGCCGCCCGATTTTCTTACGATTCGGTTCATGGTTGCAGGTTTTCGGGCGTGGGCGTGTATCAATTGTCTGCGCGGAAGGATCGAGCGTTGAATGTCTGCGGTTCTGGAGCAGGGAGCTTATATACGAACATCGATTCCACCACCTTTCACTGATTCCTTCCGCCAGACCGTCGACCCTTTCCTAGATACAGTGAATCGGGTCTCGCCACCCGCCAACCTAAGGCCGAACTCTGCTCGACGACGATGAATATGAAAGGTTCCCGTTTCATTTTTCACGCGGTTCATTGAACCAACAACGGCCGCGGCGCGCGCGGCGCACCGGATCGCGGGATTACGCGCGATCGCGGACACCGGAAGTACACGCGCCGCGCCGTTCGACTGTCCCGTCGTTAGTGTAACGCGTTCCGATCCAACGAACGCTTTCTGATCGATGGGAAGAGTAGGCCGATGCGCTCGGGCCAGGACTGTTTACCGATGATTACGGGTGACGACGCGCTTCGGAAAATCTACCGCGCGGTCTACTTCTCGTTCTCGTTCCTCTTTGCCGGTGCTGGGATATCCTGGCCGAGATCGAACAACGAAATGCGAAGCTTTGGAATTCTGTTAAAATGTGGCTGTATTGAAACGACACTTTTCGAAAGAGCGTGAACGATGTGTCGACCTGTATTGACGCGATCGCAGTAGGCATTTGCAGATGCTTTCGTTATCATATTCTCTGTTATTTAAATATACGCGTTTAACACTAGATTTACGGCGCACACAAGGAACAGCTGTTCTATATTAATTTGTAAAAGTAACAGTAAGACGTTTATTCTGATTTTTGACAAGCGTTATCGTAACATTTGCTGTAAGTAACATATAAATTGAATAAATAACTCGTGAATGTAATAATCGTAATAATCTGTAATATTATTATCTATTGTAATCTACAATTTAGGTAATAATCGAAAATTAAAATATTAATGACCCGTCATTATGACGGGTTCCGTAAATCTAGTGTTAACTGACCTAACATCTCAAGACCGAATGTTTATGCAATTCCTTGCTTCTAGGTGTTATTGATTATTCGACTTTTTTATATATTCTGTATTCTTTTTATTAACTCAAATGGTAGCTCGAAGTCTGAAAAATGGGAAGAGGAGATACGATTATTCGAGTCCCGCGGCTCATTTTTATATTTGCCAATTGTCAACAATCATAAAAACGAGGTGTAAGGTTATTAGGAATGAAAACTAGGGGAAATTTACTGTATTTGCAAATGTCTACTGCAATCGCGTCAATACTGGTCGAGACATTGTTTACGCTGTTGAAAAGCGTTGAAAAGTGTCGTCTCAAGTCAGCCGCATTTTAACAGAATTTCAAAGCTCTGCATTGCGTTCTTCGGACCTCGAGCTACCATTTGTGCTAAAGAAGAATATAGCATAGAAGAAAGTCGAATATTCAATAACATCTAGAAGCAACAAATTGCATAAACATGGTCGAAGAAACTCGAACGTTTGGATATATATATAATGGAACAGTTTTATATTCACAATGCTATTGAAATTTTTACGATCCGTTCAACAGAACAATGTTCGGTGGTCATATAATAGAAAACTCATAAAACTCCGATAATCGAGGTACTACTGTATTCTAATCGTTTTTCACTTTTACGAGTTATACGACTTATCCAAGTTAATTTTATGAGAAAACAGCGAAGTTCCCGGACCATAATATTTAAAGTAAATATCGTTTTCTGAACTTTAACTCGAAATGCAAATTCCTCCTGGATTTATGCGAGGGAACCATACTTACGCTTTCTGAACCTTTCAAGATAGATATTCATTGCTTCAAGAGAACGTCAAAAGATGCATTGATATAGAAAACACATTCCGAATGCTCGTATAACTCGTTCGTATCTCTTTTATTTATTCATGGACTATTCCATATGCAACTCGTATAATTTCAAAATACATAATTACATCCTTAATTGTTGAGCCTTCTTGAACAACGCAGTTAGTGGCTTAATTGCGCTAGCACTAACTTAATTGCTATAACACTAGAACTACAAAATTAGTCAAAATGACTGGTTTCCTATTTTTTCTACAACAATTTCTGATGTTGTTTGATATTATTTCTGCAACAAATTTTTAGATAAACTATTTTAATTGACCATATACTATAATAGAAACCGTGCGAAGTTCGAATAATTCCAATCTTGTTATTGTTATAAACTAACATACATTAGTTGCATTTAGGGCTTTTAGGGCATTAGTTTTAGTGTTAATTATAAATTTACTCCGTCCGTAGAAGTGCATTACGAAATCTTCCAAAACCGAGGACTCAATTAGGCTATTCTATGCAAACTAAATCTCATAAAAAATAATTAATATTCGATGAAGCGATGAAAAGAAATTTTCCTCGATCGCGAAAAAGCGTGATCACCGATTATGTCAACCCTTCGCACTCGAGTGGCGACTCGGAGACGTGATTAAAAATCAACATACTATTTTTCAAAATCATTCCAAGAGCATCAGACTCGCTTATATTTTTAAAAACCCGTTAAAATTGCATCGTACTTGCTGACAGGCACAATTTCATACGCGCAAATCGCAATAAATCCTATCAAATAGAAACACCGTAGATCAGAGATCATGTTCTAGATTTCCAGTTCAATTAGCTTCGACTGCAAAGGGTTAATAGGCCACCACGACGTCCGCACTCATAAACAATTTCCTTGCAGTCATTACCACACCGAAGAATCCGTTAAAGACCGCATCGAAAATAATGCTCCTTTCAGAGCTGCCATCAAAATGAGTTCCCCGGTCGGCCGAAGGCTACGTGGAAGTGTTCGCAGTTTATTAATCATCCTCATTGAGAGATAGGAGCCAGCCGGCGTTGCGGCTTGCGAGAATGAAACACGTGTAACGCGGCGCGGCGGCCAGAAATCCGGCAAAGTCGCCGGCAAAGCGGAAGATCAAAAGCACCTCGAGTTGCAACCGCAAATTTACATTGCTGCTACATTTACCGGAAGTGAACGTCTCTGCAGCAGTTATGAGAGTCCGATGTCATTAGCGGCCTCACTTTCATAACCCGCGCCAAAACAACGTGAAAGAAAGGGGAAAAGAAACGGGTCCATTAGCATCGCGTGTAGATCCATAGCGATCGTGACCGACCACGCATCACGAAATTCGATCGAGAGATTCAGTTCGATGAAACGAGAAATTCCGACCGCGAAGACAGTTTCTTTTTCGGGCGTAGCGAACCGGCGGCGCGCGGCCGTCCACGTATGCATGTACATGTACATTTCTGTATGTATGTATGTATGCATATACATGTATGTTTGTATGTATGTATGCATATACATGTATGTTTGTATGTATGTATATATCTATATATGTATGTTTGTATGCGTGTGTGTGTGTGTGTGTACGCGCAAAACTCTGGCTTACCGGAAGTGAAGGTGAAGAACACTCCCGGTAAAGACACTCAAAGCGGATCAAATTTTTCGGAGCGATGAAATGAAAGTCCGAACGCGTTCGCCACGTGAAAGGACTTCTTGCGAAAAAGCGATCGGTTACGGCGATCTTTGTTCCTGTAAAAGCGGAATTCGGGCCGGCTTAAATCGACAACGGCACGAGTGATTCGTAGACAAGATCAGAAAGCGTGCGCGCTCCATTCTTCTATCATCCTTGGGAGTGTTTGATAAAATCGTTTCTTTCATTCTTTCTTTCTTTCTTTTTTTTCTTTCGTCTGTTGCCGCGATTTTTAATTACCAGGAAATATAAGCGGCCGCTGTTTGCTGGCGAGCTGCTAGAATATCGGAAACGAGCGGAGCGTGCTTACTGCAGTGCTTACTTTAACTTCGTTCCGATACCCGTGAAAGGTTCGAAGAATCAAGGAAAACCGGTCGAAGCACGAATGAAAACTCCAATTCGCGCAATTTTGATACGATAAGTGCTCGTCGTGAAGCCAAATCGCCTCGACCGATCGCTTCGAATTTCCGACGGTTTTAATTAGCGAACGATTGAAGCAGGATCGATTTCCCTAACGAACTTCGTAAATCTAATGGCTCTACAGGAATTTCTTCCTAATTCGCGCTGAAATTGTGCACGAAAATGGACAATTTGGGAAGAAGAGACACGATTATTCGAGCCTTGCACCTCGTTTTTATAATCGTTGATTTCTGATTCTGATTTATATTTTTATTATATGACCATTGAACATTGTTTCGTTGGACGAATCGTTAAAATTTCAATAGTCATTTTAACTAATTTGGTAGTTCTAGTATTAAAGCAATTAAGTTAGTGTTAACGCAATTAAACCACTAACTGCGTTGTTCAAGAAGGCTCAACAATTAAGGATGTAATTATGTATTTTGAAATTATACGAGTTGTATATGGAATAGTCCATGAATAAATAAAAGAGATACGAACGAGTTATACGAGCATTCGGAATGTGTTTTCTATCAATGCATCTTTTGACGTTCTCTTGAAGCAATGAATATCTATCTTGAAAGCTTCTGAAAGCGTAAGTATGGTTCCCTCGCATAAATCCAGGAGGAATTTGCATTTCGAGTTAAAGTTCAGAAAACGATATTTACTTTAAATATTATGGTCCGGGAACTTCGCTGTTTTCTCATAAAATTAACTTGGATAAGTCGTATAACTTGTAAAAGTGAAAAGCGATTAGAATACAGCAGTACCTCGATTATCGGAGTTTTATGAGTTTTCTATTATATGAAACATTGGGTTTTCAAAACAACAACGGGTTTTTAAACATCCGAACATTGTTCTGTTGGACGGATCGTAAAAATTTCAATAGCATTGTGAATATATATATATATGTATATCCAAACGTTCGAGTTTCTTCGACCAGACCGAGTAATCGTGATATTCTACCGTCTATTAAAAAATGGGCACGCGCAAGCTATAAATTATTAACAATTATTAAATTATTAAATACATAAACTATATGAAAATTCTGAAAATCGATTACTATTTTGCTTATTCGACCGGTTTATTCTGAGACAAAGCAATTATCTCAAACGATCTTTTGTACACCAACTGTTAAACTAATCGACCTAATCTCTCAAGACCGAATGTTTATGCAATTTGTTGCTTCTAGATGTTATTGAATA